ATGGTGGACAGGGACCGTAGCTGCCTTTATGGACAAGGGTATGGTGGACAGGGACCGTAGCTGACTGTATGGACAATGGTATGGTGGACAGGGACCGTAGCTGCCTGTATGGACAAGGGTATGGTGGACAGGGACCGTAGCTGCCTGTATGGACAAGGGTATGGTGGACATGGAACGTAGCTGCCTGTATGGATAAGGGTATGGTGGACAGGGACAGTAGCTGCCTGTATGGACCAGGGAATGGTGGACATGGACCGTAGCTGCCTTTATGGACAAGGGTATGGTGGACAGGGACCGTAGCTGACTGTATGGACAAGGGTATGGAGGACATGGACCGTAGCTGCCTGTATAGACAAGGGTATAGTGGACATGGAACGTAGCTGCCTGTATGGACAAGGGTATGGGGACAAGGACCGTAGCTGCCTATATGGACCAGGGTATGGTGGACAGGGACCGTAGCTGCCTGTATGAACAAGGGTATGGTGGACATGGAACGTAGCTGCCTGTATGAACAAGGGTATGGTGGACATGGACCGTAGCTGCCTGTATGGACAAGGGTATGGGGGACAGAGACCGTAGCTGCCTGTATGGACAAGGGTATGGGGGACAGGGACCGTAGCTGCCTGTATGGACAAGGGTATGGGGGACAGGGACCGTAACTGCCTGTATGGACAAGGGTATGAAGGACAGGGACCGTAGCTGCCTGTATGAACAAGGGTTTGTTGGACATGGAACGTAGCTGTCTGTATGAACAAGGGTATGGTGGACATGGACCGTAGCTGCCTGTATGGACAAGGGTATGGAGGACAGGGACCGTAGCTGCCTGTATGGACAAGGGTATGGGGGACAGGGACCGTAGCTGCCTGTATGGACAAGGGTATGGGGGACAGGGACCGTAACTGCCTGTATGGACAAGGGTATGGGGGACAGGTACCGTAGCTGCCTGTATGGACCAGGGTATGGTGGACAGGGACCGTAGCTGCCTGTATGAACAAGGGTATGGTGGACAGGGACCGTAGCTGCCTGTATGGGCAAGGGTATGGTGGACAGGGACCGTAGCTGCCAGTATGGACAAGGGTATGGTGGACAGGGACCGTAGCTGCCTTTATGGACAGGGGTATGGTGGACAGGGACCGTAGCTGCCTGTATGGACAAGGGTATGGTGGACAGGGACCATAGCTGCCTGTATGGTCAAGGGAATGGTGGACATGGACCGTAGCTGTCTGTATGGTCAAGGGTATGGTGGACATGGAACGTAGCTGCCTGTATGGTCAAGGGTATGGTGGACATGGACCTTAGCTGCCTGTATGGTCAAGGGTATGGTGGACATGGAACGTAGCTGCCTGTATGGTCAAGGGTATGGTGGACATGGAACGTAGCTGCCTGTATGGTCAAGGGTATGGTGGACATGGAACGTAGCTGCTATCGACGGTTAGGTCGAAACCTGAGCGAGGATCGAAAATATTTTTTTCCAATAAACTAAATTTTTCTGCGTACTGCATCGTTTTCGTTAAATTAAACAAAAGATATCATTACTGACATACAGATACAATTATACTTTCTCTCATTAAATTGACATTCGATTCAAACTGAACATACAATTAAGAACAACGAGGTGTTAGCCCGTCCTACGTACGGGAACTGAGTAGTCAGTTAAAACTGCGTAAGTCATAAAAGCTAGTTTACACGTATAAATACAGTTTTAATGTGAAAAATCATTTTGTAAACAAATGTTGCTTGACCAAATATGTTTTATTCCATCATAGGCATATACAATATGCATTTTAAATACGATAATTTTACAATAAAACAGCAATTGTGACGATTTGAAAAGCGTTGATGTGAGATTTAACTTACTAATTATTTTAGTAGCCTACAGTAGATAGAGTAATAGTCAATTCAGAAGTGTATAGGCCTAGTCAACGATACCTCCTTGCGCATACCTGCCTCTTCCATAATTATTATCACCACGATACAATTAGCCTACTCATACTATACACAATTTCCAGTAGGTTTGAATAGAAACTACCAAAAACAAAACGATAATATCCAATAAAATTCACAATACACATAATATAACGTTGGTCTCCTAACATCATTAAACCAATCGTCCACACGATTATCCTTTATATCTATTTCACTGCATCAAAAATTTTCAAAACTTTTTAAATCACCCGGTAGTTTAACATTTAAGCCAGTATAAATTAAATGAGTGAGGATAAAGTTTGATCAAAGGTAATTAACTTAGAATAATGTACGTTGTCTGTCATTGGAGTTGGATAAAGTTTGATCAAAGGTAATTAACTTAGAATAATGTACGTTGTCTGTCATTGGAGTTTCGGCATTCATCTCTCATCGATTTGTAAATAAATAATACTGTGATTTCAATTTGAAACGAGAGAACGAAATATTTAATTTTATAAAAAAAGTAGGATAGACTTAGTTAGTGGCAGTCATTTATTATAAATACAGATACAAAATATTTATTAGAAGGTTTGAATGTAAGACGTCAATAAACGGTCTAGACGCTAGAGCCAGTCAGCTGTTCAGTTACATTGTTGCAGCTGACGCATTGTCTGTCTCTCTCTTCGCTGTTAGTCTTGTTATGACACGTGTTACTTCAGTATTAGTTGTTAGTTAGTTGTATTCGCTGTAATAGTATGGATGTGGATATGTCTTCAGTATTGTGGTGATTATTTTTATGTTTTTGTTAAGTTGATGTGTAAACACTCTGTCAATATTTGTTTTCCTGGTCATAAACTGCAGCTACTAAACTATTAGGTTTGTCCTTATGCTGAAAGATTATTAATTCGAGTAAAAAGCTCTATATGGCAAACTGTAATACAAAAGATTTAGTAAAAATCTAAAATGTGTTATTATTTCTTCTTCTTAGCAAAACTTATTAGTTTTGCTAAGAAGAAGAAATAATAACACATTAACTGAGAAACGGTTATAAGCCAAAATTTTACCTTGGTTAGGTTTAAAAGATATTTTGAAAATATATATTTTAATCTGCTGACATAAAATGAGGTTTAATTATTGTTAGCGACAAAAATTCCCTTTTGATTCCATAATTCCATTCGTGAAATGATTCCATTGATTCATTTCACGATTCAAAATGATAAATTATAATCCACCGTGGGGTTTGTCGATAATTAGTGTTGGTCAAAACATCATTAGAAAGATAAAAGCATATTATAAATGCATATCCATTCAATAATTATAGTTATTCTATTATTACATACATGAAAATGTGTTTATATGTTTTTGACCATAACAAATATAGGTAACTGGGAATATTTACTCATTTATTTGTTTAAACTATAAAATTTGTTGAACCTCCTCCTGGGACCGTCCTTGTCTTTAGGGTTAAAAGTATACTTCATTTTAATTGTCGTTAGAGACTTGAACCGTTATTGTAAAACCTGATTTGCCATTATGTTATTATTTTTGAGTTATGAGTTTTCATAGGAAAATCGCCTATTTCATGATGTTTTATGGTAAATAAAGAATTCTGATTCATTCTGTTTTTGGTTGATGTTTCTAACATACAATTCTAATTTAGGGCACTATGTATGTGGTATAGGGCACTAACCATGCGTTATACCATTGACTAAACAACCACTATAGTCAATGGTTATACTCCTACTCCCTTAAGTAGTAGATTTCTCAGCCGTACAGCTGAAGACAATTTTATTGTTATAATAGTTCCATTGTTCCATTCGGTGCACTGTAGTCGGTCGTATATTTTGTTTACATTGATACTTTAATCTAAAATGGTGAGTTATTTCAGTAATTTAAAACCTCGTTCAACCAAATAAAACGATCTGACCATGAACTCGTCCCCTAGTTGTTAACTTAAAACATCCAACAGTAAAGCACGAATCATGAAATTCGCCCTAAAATAATATAAACAAATGTCGACACTATAGTGCCAACACAAACTAGACACAAAAACGATTCTTAAAAATAATGTTGCAATGGTATGAGCAGTAGGTATACTTTGTTTGGTTAGTATGGTAAAAAAATCACTATTTGAGTCTCGCGTGTTCCATAATAATAGTACAAGGGGAAATATATGAAGTCTTTTAAAAAAATCTGCAGATTTTATACTTTCCAAAATGGCTAGGCGTAACGGTGATACATTGTGGTTTGAAAAATGCTATATGGTGATACTTGTTATTAGAGTAACAGCAGTGGTACTATACTCCGTTCACAACATTTAGGCGATTTTAGGGGAAGAAATCTATCCCATAAACTTCTGGGATTGTTCAAAATACTAATCAGCTGCAACATAAAAAGAGATAGAACTTCCCTTCAAACCACCTAAATACTGTGAACGGAGTATAATAAACTATTTGTATAATTATTATGTTATTGATTGGTTTTTTACTTTTTATCGACGAAATTAGTTAACAGAGATTTGTTTGGTTGACGTAAGGTGTAGCAAAACTTTGAGAATGAAATAAACGAAGATACTAAACAGCTAGGGTAGATGGCATATTGTCTAGTACTATTTCTCTCTAAAGCTAAAGAATAAATTATAATTAGTGTCCTCAATTATACGATTTAAAGAACTTAAACTGAAATATAATACTTCAAATGAAAAATAATGTTGATGATTTAGTAGGTAGCCCCCATGTTCCAATACCCACCTTAGGATGCCTTACAATCAGTTAATTATATTCTTTTTGTCCGTGACAAAGGACAGATATTTCTAAACATTAGGTTTTTAGTATGGCACTAGCATCTGCTGGACAAACATGGAATTTAAAGTATGAAGTATGAAAATGCTTACTTTTCATATTAGTACATAAAAGTACGTATGTACTCTACAGCCCTAAAGCACAACTCTTACTTTTCTTACTAGACTGCTTAGGCGAACGGAAGCGGAATCGAGAGAGGTTCTTCTTCTTTTTTCAGTGCTGCGTTTTCGTTTCGTTGCTTGCATTTTGTTTTGATTTTTACTTGTTCTCTCTCACTGTCGACTGTCAGTCACCGACTGTAGCAATTTAAATGGTGAAGGTGGTACGGTTATCGTCATTTTGACACAGAGTGATTTACAAACAAACAAATTTGATATTGTTCAGATAAAGGCAATATTACAAAAGAAACTGCCAGTTTTAATTTAGCTAGTTTTATTTCGATCTTCTGTTAATCTTAAGGTAGGTTATGAATCAGGATTCAGTACCTATGCTCTGAGCTAACTTATGGGTACCTAACATAGGCTATCTAGTGGTGGGTTTAAAGAGTTTCTTTCCAATGTTTATTATATTTTGTACTGATCAAAGTTATCATTTGTTGGAGAAACATTATTCAAACACGTAGGCTTAGGCCTAAGTTGCCTTGTGTGCTAAGAACAGTTGAAACCAGTCCTAAGTTAAACTTAGTCCTAGAGGGATTTTGGCCTAGCCTATGGTGCAAGGTTTTGTTGACCTATGCTTGTTGTCAGGAGTATAAAGACTCTTTTAAGGTTGACGGCTGTACATATTTTATCAATGGAATATGAGTTTAACTTAAGCTAAGTTAAGTTAACTTACTTCAATGTTAAGTTCAGTTAGTTATGTTGGTTAACTAAATCTTTGACTAAGTCAGCCTTAAAAGAGTTAACTTATTTAACTTATTAATCCTTTAAATGCTATGCAACAATGTATCGTTGCGTATTTTTTTTCCGAAAAGTGCTATGGAACGATAGCCTATAGCCTAAGTTATCTTTGTTCATGTTTTATCCGAAAAGCGCTGACTTAAGTGTCGATATATCATGCCGGCGCGACTTTCGACCGTATGAGTTTTAATGGGCATAGGTTTATCCGTTTACCTGGTTGTAGTTTCGAAACAACTATGGTGTCTTCCAATTTCTCATAACTTACGATCGAGGCCCAATCGTCTAGCACTTTTAAGATGGAACATTTTTATTACCGATTTGTTTCCTCGCAAGCTAGACTTTGCCCCTGTGGCAAGCCTAGCACTTTTCGGACAAAACAAGTTGAGTAAATACCTCTTGCATTTTTCGAAAAATTAAACTTAACTTAGGGCCTAAGTTACAAAAAAATATTCAAAGTTAGTATCGGAAGGATTAATGTTTCCAAATTATGTTACACTAGGCCTAAGTTTAGGGCATATGTCCAACCCTCATAAGATGGAAGATTAACTTGTGGTAGAAAGGTTAGTGTAACAAACATGCTTATAGTGTAGGCCTACCTAATCCTTGTGGTTTATTAGGACTGGTGGTGTTCCCATCTCAATCAATTAAGCTTTTTAGGGCTATTATTTATTTTTAGATCTACAATGCCGAAGAATAAGACCACACCAAATGCTTTCTACTTCTTTATGCTGGATCGAAGAGCTGCATACCAGGCAAACGGGGCAAAATTTCCAAATGGGCTGAAAGATGTAGCCGAAATTGCTGGCCAAGAGTGGGCGGTGAGTTATCCCAGTATAACTTAACACTTTTAACTTAATTAAGGTACCACACTAAATTAAACTTTAAAATAACTTATCCAGTACTGTAAGGTAGTGAAGGATTCTACACTAAACACGATTTCATGTTAGATAGGCCTAGATATCTCTGAATTTGAGCCGAAACCAGACAAAGATCAACACCTGGGCTACTAACCAAAATGCAGTCCAATGCAGTTCCTAGATATTAGTGTACATTTAATGACCTTGATTAGTTATTTAAAGTTAGTTTTTAATTAAATCTTTGCCCCCAATGAAAAATGGAAGGATTTTAATTTTAAATAATAATTTTATCGCCATACATAAGCTATTAAATTAGCATAGCCTTATAGGAGTAAGTTAAGTTTTAGAATGTTGTGTGTAGTTTTTGCAAAGTTGATTAAAAGGCTTATGACCACAACATTCTTTACATGTTTTAACTACCTATTTGCTCAGGGATTAATAAGGAATATCAACATATATTTCACCTGTACTCATAGGTTTAAAAAAAGTTAAACAAATAAAATGTTTAGCCTTCAAAAAATGCTGTCCAAACTTTGGTGTACTTTAATCATGTTTGTTTTTAGGTCCTCCCTAAAGCTCAGAGAAAGAAGTATGAAGACATGGCTAAAGAGGAGAAAGAGAGGCTTAAAAAAGACACTTCAAGAAAATTTACAAACTTGCACAATTCTTTTAATTACCTGGAAAAGACTCGTAATGAAAAAGAAGAGACAAAAAAGTTGATCAATGACACGATAGAAAAAACGGTCGCGAGTCTGTGCGTTACCAAAAGTAAGTTTATTAAGTTTAATAATGTTTGCCTAATACGTATATAAAAAAATTCAAACTTATCAGTACCTTGTCAGCAGCAACCTAACGCATAGAATTATTAAGACTTAATCAAATCTGTTGACACAATTATATAAATTGCCTAGGAATAATCGTATCGTAATCTACAAACATAATTACAATTTATTCGCTTAAATAAGGAGTAAGTTTATGATCATGATTGCCTGTTATTGAACAAATTGTTCATATTTTTAATTATTGTACCCTCTAAAATCAGATTCCCACCTAGAATTGAGAATCAAAATGTAATAATCTCCAACAGACTCTGCTCGTGATTTTTAAGATTAGAATTCTACAAATCTTACTAATATTATAATGTGAAAGTTTGTGTGTTTGTTTGTTTATATGTTTGTTTGTATGAAGTTCAATCACGCATTAACTACTGGACGGATTGGGCTGAAATTTTGCACTACGATAGCTCACATTCCCGATCAACATATAGGCATATTCTTATCTGAAACATCCTTTCGGGCTCCGCCCGAGAGGCTTTGTAGTTCCCCATGTTAACCTTATGAGTGTTCATATTTATAGGCAATTAAAGAATTTAGTCAGCTCTTTTAACTAAAAAAGGTGGTAGTATGTTATGCAAAAGCATAAAAAAGTTAGATTTACCAACGGGGTGCAGCACTTTGTTTTTTTTTTTCATTTATGAAAACAGCTAATTTGAACTAAGCAGCAACAAAAAACTTTGATACACAACGAGAACTGTAATAATCCAATTTTTTACATTTATCTTAATGTTTTTAATTTCATGAATAATTTGTGATATTTTGCGAATTTTTAATAATTTTAATTTAAATAATTTATTTTTCTCTATTGTTAAGGTGAAGTGGTAGAACATTATAGCTGTGGTAGCCTAGTTGTGTAATACTATAGGGTTTAAAATCAAAATTTTATCAAACATGTGTCCTCCCCCATTGAAAACGCAAACCTTGAGTATAACTGCAATAAGCATTTTATACTTACTTATGTGCCAACCCCGTACGAAGGGCGGGTACTTTGCTAGTAACCTAATAAAGCCATAAAACTAGACAATAATGCTACTATTTTTTTGCAGGGATTGCAACTTTCAAGTTTTATCTGATACACATCAACTACTTCTACAAGGATGGCAGTGAGTGTTACCACCCTGCAGAGATAGCAGTTTCCGAGTTCAGTCTGACAGAGGGAGTAACAAATGTGTTTCACACAATAATCGGGCAAAGTAAGTCTAGCGGTAAAACAGTGTTAATTATAGGCCCATGTGGACCTAGTCATTGTGTAACAGTGTAGTCCTATTGTGAATGAACATTACTCAGTAGGTCTTCTTGAGTGTTGGTTAAAGTTGAGCAATTACTCGCTACTTGTCCTATTTGCATAATGTTGGGGGTAATAAGCCTTTCACCACTTTTGGTCTTTAAAACCTAATATACCCTATATAAACCTGTTACTGTTTAAATTCCAAATTCTTTAAATATTGATCTACATATTTTTCTTTTAGAAACTTTAGAAACTGTCCTCACCACTAATTTCTGTGCATTGAGAAGTTTTTTTTTGTTTTGCAGTTGGATCCCCATTGTAATTAGACACGTGATTACTGGTATCAAATCTTTCCCACAAGAACAGTCATTTTAGTATCACCCTCTTCCTGCTGATCTAGTCCGGTTAAACCAATGAGCTGATAAATAAGAAATGGTATTGGCTTGGTATAATCTTTGACTATTAATAACGGTCAATTGTATAATCTAGACACGTTTACCTACCTCTACTGATTGTTGTTGCTTGCCACAGTAAAAATAGCAATTGGCTTCCGTTTGGATGTCGTAAATCGCACCAATGAAGTTCATCACATCCCTGCGGATAATAACAAAGGAGAGGAGAGTTTTGAAGTAGTTTGGAGAAATGTGAAAGAAATACTAAGGGTGAGGAATTAGTTTTCACTGTACTTTAAACGCAGATTTAAATTTAGTTTGAATCTGTTTTAAATGTTCAGTAAATGAAATTAAAATTGAACATCCTACTTTTATGAGCAGAAAATGTAAAATAATATGCTAAGTATGCTAATAGCTGGCTAAGTTTGATAGATGAAAGAATTAAATAAGGTGGTAAAATACCTGAGTATATCCTGTAGGCGTGGGGTCATCGTCATTGTCTCACTGACACGTTATCATCATCATCCACAATGATGGCAAAATCATGTATATCCCCACGTTTATAGACATTATCGTCGTCTCCCTCAGTCACAGAAACATCATCATAGTCTTACGCTATTGTGGCAAAATCCTAGAGAGTTTTAGACATTATCGTGGTTTTGTAAAGCGCAGGTGTCGTTTGGGAGGAAGATCACTAAATTACAATAACTTTTGAACCGCTATTTTTAAGCCTTGGAGGTTGTGCCATCTAGCCCTGGGTTGAAAAAATATATCAAATTACTAAATTTAAATCCAAATTGTCAGTCTATTGGCCAAAGTGGATGAATTAATTGTTATATACTATACAAGAAGTTGTTATCTAGAATAATTATGTTTTTAAACCCTTCAAATCTGGATCACTCGATAGAAGGGTTATAAGTAAAAGCATATATGGCAGATGTAACAAAACTGACTTTGTTAGTAATTTTGTTGCTCAACTGAGAATACTTAAATGGATAGTCAAGTTAGTTCTAAACCTCTCCAGGGCCCTGTTTCATAAAACTACTAGTCTTGTATTTACTAGTCCATGGACTAGTAATACTAGTGTATTTTACAAGTCTAAGTTTCAAAAACCTACTAGTGTAAAATACTAGTTACTAGTGTAGGGACTAGTATTAATAGTGGTTTTTACTAGTGTAGAAAGCAATGTGTTTCATAAAGTTTTACTCTTGTAAATTACACTGGTAAATACTTGCCATTTTCTAACAACCTCTCTACACCCGTATTATTTGAAGTAGACTAGTTTTTTTGGAAAGAGAGATATTTCATTACTTACATCATTAAAAAAATGAATTATTAAGTTCTTTTTGCAAGTGCAAATTGGCTCACGTTTGCAATTTTAAGATAATTTAAGATCTGTGAGTGCTAAAATGATAATTGTTAGATATAAATTACAATCAATAGATGTGGCGTAGTACAAAATGAGAGAAATAGAATTTTGTAATATATGTACAATCGCCCTATTAGAATTAATTATAATTATAAGTTATCAATTTTAGTCTAATTTTACTTGAGTTAAATTTCATGGTTAGGTTATATCAACTATTTAACCATCACAGAGAAAAGATTTTTAAGCTTTGAGAGAAACCAAATTAAAACAGCATACCGTATTGCATACAAAGATGTAACAAATGTATCCAACATTGCAACATTAATCAGATTATTTTACACCCAAGGCTCTCGGTTTTATTTAAAGACATTTTAATAGGAAATAATAGTAAGACAATTTTAAAGAGGAGTTGCATTATATTTATTGAGGTGCTTGTTATTTGCTTCCCTTAATAGCTAAAACCCTGTGATATACTAACAATTTTGTAGGCCTATATTTGATTTTTGGGCGTTGAACTGAACTTCTTATCATAAAAACATTACTTTTAATCCATTTTGGTATTCAGAATTTGTTATTCAAATTTCAAAGTAATAAAAAAAATTGATGTTGATTAGAGCTGTTATTTTAATGTAAAAACATGGAAAATTTTAATTAATGGAATTAAAGTATAGTGAGTGGCACGGATTTGAACCAGGGACCCGCCACATGACTAGCGAGAACTCTACCACTGAGCTACGCTCAGCCATAGCGTTTATGCCATGTTTTACTATACTTGAAAACCTACTCCATTGCTTGTAACGGCGTTGCAATTATTTGTTACATCAAGAAACGTTTAGGCTTATTATTCATGGTTTGTAGACTCAAAATGAGAATATCACCAAATGGTGTTTAACCCAAATATCCTTATGCATTCGAATAATTGAAAACATACATAAGGGTACTTGAAACCGTTCCAATAAACAAAATGTCCTTAAACGATTTAATTACATTCAAAATTTGAGCCTTCTTTTCTTTACTCATAGCAAGCTTAATTTTATATGTCAGAATAAAACAAAAACTATACAAATCACAGCGAATGTGGCAGCAACAGTCAACTTCCACCCAACTATTGAGCGCCACAACTAGGCCTACAACCGGCTACTACTATCACCGTGTTGATTGCAGCGACGCGACGCCGTGTTGCACCGGCGCGTCGGCGGGCTCATTGATGAACATAAATAATAGCGGTTTGATAAATAATGTGTGATTTTTTTACTTATGTGTCTATATAGTTATTAATTAAAAGAAAACACTGCGTTTCTACAACTATTTACTTTTTGTATCAAATGAAAACAAAATTAAAACCCTTTATAAAGGGTTTGAAAACCCGTGATTGAGGTTAGAAATTTGTTTTGAAAATTTACTTTGTAAAGTTGGTCACGTGACTAGTAAAATACACTAGTATTTACTAGCGTTATAAACACGTTTTTGAAACACAAATTAGTAGGACAGGTAAATACGGGACTAGTATTTACTAGACTAGTAGTAATTACTAGACTAGTATTTTTATGAAACAGGGCTTATTTTAAAATGACTTGTACTGTGCATCTGATTGTAAAATTTTATTGTTTTGTTGTTTACAGGGAGGCAGAAATGCTCACGGGGGTTCATATCCCCCGATGTATACGATGCCGGACAACATAAGCCTAAACACAAGCATGGCTTGTGTTAGAAACGTGGTTCAGATGTTGGCGGAAAGTATGTCTTTATGTTAATAATTTATTGGTAGTAGTACAGCATTTTAATTTATGCAGAGGATAAAGTTAATGGTATTTTTTCCAAAATAAATAATTGTTTAAGAAATATTTTAAGTATGATTTTTGACAAATAAAACCGGAATTTGTTTTACACATCCTCGGTAAATGATTATTTAAGCATAAACATGTGACATAGCAATGCAAAGTTCATGGGCTGTCCATAAATTAAGATTCCCATTGCTGTTAAGCGATGTCAAATCTATGATTAGTGCTTTGTTCTTTCCTTCATTTACGAGAACTCTCATATGTTCCCACCCTACACAGTAATTATTCTGGTCATAATGGTCACAAACTCACAAACAATATGCGCCAACCGCTGTTGAAGTCCACTGTTACTTGACTGAGGTGTGGGAGTAAAGTATTTATACGTAGAAAAATGTGCGTAAAGAGTTAAGGTTTACTTGGTGTTTTGAATTATGCCTATATCAACTCGGTTGTTCATCAGTCTCATTTGAGTCATTGACCAAAACTAAGAGTTGAAATTACAAGAGATTGCCATGAACTGATAAAAAACATCTCTATGAAACACAACTGCGTATTAGGTAGTAACTTAGCTGAAACTTGCAGATCAGTAAGTGAAATTAAACTTTAATCACTGTCTCAATCAAAACTGATGATCATCTTCTGCCAGCTAAAGTGCCTATGTACATACGACCTTTTGCAAACTCCCAAAACCACTTTTGTACCTTAATACACATCTGACAACCGGCAACAGTTTTCATAGGGACTTAAATCAGAGCCTAATCATAGAGAATATTTTATACTTGACGGGAGCATTGTAGACCTTTTCATTGGTTTTGGATACAATAAGTAGATTAATTGTTATATATGAGTGCCAGCTAGAATAGTAGTTAAGGAAATAAAAACTGGATGGCACTGGTCTATCTATTTTATCTATTTTATATGCAGATGATACAACTTTCTTTTCAAAGAGCAGAACAATAATTGAATTAGAACAAATAACCCAAACTGCAATGAGTGATGCCTCAGCATGGTTTCAGTCAAATAATTTTCTTCTGAACAACAATAAAACTCAAAACATTCTTTTCAGTTTAAGACCCACAGATCACGTGTTTCATAATATACAACACAGTGTGAAATTCCTAGGTATGCACATTGATAACCAGCTCAGCTGGGAATCCCATGTAGATTATCTATCAACAAGATTATCTCGCGTTGTTTATCTAATTAGAAGACTGATCTCACTTGTTGACAGTAGCTATGTAAGAATGTCTTATTTCGCCTTTTTTCAAAGTATTTATCGCTATGGCTTGATATTTTGGGGAAGCAGTTCAGGAATTCAGGATATTTTACTGATTCAGAAAAATATTGTTAGAATTATATGTAATGAACATCCTGATACTCATTGTAAACCTCTTTTTATTAAACTTGAATTCCAAACAGCTATTAATTTGTACATATATGATATCATGGCTTACAGCCTTAAAAAATTGCCCTTTCAAACCTTATGTAATGATATCCATAGACACAATACGAGAAACAATTTAAATATTAAAAGAAGTTTTTTCAGATTAAATTTGACTCTAAAAAGCCACATAGTGATGTCACAGGTAATATATAACAAACTCAGTAAAATTGTTCAATCATATCCAACACACTCAATGTTTTTAAAACAATTTTATAATTGGCTTTTGAAAAATCCCTTTTATTCCCTCTCAGAGTTTTTAGAGAAGAAGAAAATTGTATTTTAGCTTGTAAGCTTTATATTTTATGACCTTATGACTAGTTATATTCTTGACTGTTGCTAATACATGTATAATGTCAATGGCAAATAAAGATTTCTATTCTATTCTATTCTCAGATTTGCAATCAGGAGTTAGATGGAAACCTCAATAGACAAACATTGTATTTCATGCTAATTAATCATTAGCCTTTGCCATTTCAATTTAAGTAGGTAATTTAGAAAACTGAGGAAATAAATACGCAGCATATTAGATATTGCTGCATTATTTTTAATTGGTAGTAAGCGTAACAAGTTATTAAAACAAGTTAAAAAAGTATTACCCAGCGAATCACAGGATGTCTATTAGTAAAACAATCCTTTTTGTAGTGACTACACTTTTTTTATTTAGTCTTAAATACATCATGTATTCATGCTGTGAAGTTTTGTAGTCCAGTAAAGTTTACAATGGTTTGCGTGTGACTCATAACATAAAACACAGGCTGTTTTTAAATTAAACAACGTAGCTTTAATGTAATATTTAATTTGTCATAGATTAAGATTGTCTTGTGCATCATACTGCAGTGTGTTACCTTATTACAAGTTATTTACCAGTTGCTTTGTTGTAGCGAGTGGTGATAATGCCGATGATTTCCCTGTATTCCCCCTCGAGAAGTTATTTTACGAGCTCAAGTATGGGTGTGCGAAATTCGCCGGGGAAGCCGATGACCCAAGATCTTACTACCCTAGTGTTCCATTTGCCTGTTCTCGCCTAGAAAATGATATTTTTAACCTTACTGAGGAAATCGCCTGCTCAGTAAGTATTGAATTTTTGGAATATGTTACTGAAAGGTGTCCAAGCAATCGTTGTTTGAAGTAAGTTTATAGTTTTTAAGTTTTTCAACACTGTAAATATTCAGTATATGGAAGTCAGGACAAAGAAATTTTCGTTTTTTAAAAATAGTGATGGTCAAGTAATAAGATTTTTGACGCTATCACAGAGATCAATTTATTCTTGACGGGAGTTTTGTAGACATTCTCCTTGATTTTGGATGCAATAAGTAGAGAACCTCTCCCGAGTTCACTTGATATTCCGTTCAGAAGATCTGTCACACTAAACATACCTAGTATAGTCACTTGTCATTTCCTATGATAAAATATAATGCCACATAGAGATTTATTTTTTACTTAATTGTTATAAATTACGATAATGTATACTAGTGGAGACAAAGAAAAACAGTTTCAAATTAATATTTAGATTTTAGCAGTATGATGGAAGAAATTGTAGCAGTCTGTGGGGCACAAATTTTGTTTTCAGTTAAAAAGTTTTGGGTCCTGGGCCAAAAGTCAGACATAAAAAGGGTTGCTTTAGAATGTATTGATTTTTTATACTTAAATTAGTAAACTACAATGTACATCTATATAAATAAAATTAGAGTTTTGTCTGTACATTGCTTAGAATAATGAACTTTTTGGTTATTTTTACATTTCATAGGTCAGAGAAACCGAATCAAACCTTATCTCAATTTCTGTCTGTCTGTCTGTCTGTCTGTCTGTCTGTCTATCTGTCATTCTCTTGGTAACGCTAAAATACGCACTTTATTACAACTACTCCTCAATAACTATAGCACTGTCCCGCCTGAAACTTATTTTCCAAATACTATACATATATGAGATGGTTTTAGACGTATTTCATCGAATATGAGACAGTTAGATATTTAACAGTAAACCCTTGAAAATCAAGTTTTTGTCGATTTTTGACGTGGAATTTCTGGAAGCCCATGTTAACCTTATGAGAAATGAAATTATTGAATCTTAACAGCTGTTTCAATTAAACAAGTTGGTTCTGTTCTGTGATGTTCAATAGCATTAAAGTTACAAGGATTACCAACAGGGTGCAGCACTAGCACTATTATTTCTTTTACATTTATGACAACAGCTAATTTGCAACCTGGAGGCGAGTGAGCGTAGCGAACGAGCTAACCTGAAGGCAAGTGAGCGTAGCGAACGAGCTAACCTGAAGGAAAGTGAGCGCAGCGAACGAGCTCCAACATACAGGTGAGTGAGCGTAGCGAACGAACTTCAACCAGGACGTGATTGAGCCATGCAAACGAGATCAGATAGTAAAAATAAAAGTAAGCCTACCGTTATAGGATCGACCGGCAGACACAGAGGTAATTTAACCTTTTATTGATTGTCATACCGATCCGGAACAACAAAAAACAACATAAAATGAAGCTATGTATAATAGTTTGGCCAGCATATCTTAAAATATGCAAACCAACTGCTGTTCGTTATATAAGAAGGTTTCAACTGAATATTATAAGATCCCCGTGCGTAGAACGGGTACACAGCTAGTTATCTATATAAATAAAATTAGAGTTTTGTCTGTACATTGCTTAGAATAATGAACTTTTTGGTTATTTTTACATTTCATAGGTCAGAGAAACCGAATCAAACCTTATCTCAATTTCTGTCTGTCTGTCTGTCTGTCTGTCTATCTGTCATTCTCTTGGTAACGCTAAAATACGCACTTTATTACAACTACTCCTCAATAACTATAGCACTGTCCCGCCTGAAACTTATTTTCCAAATACTATACATATATGAGATGGTTTTAGACGTATTTCATCGAATATGAGACAGTTAGATATTTAACAGTAAACCCTTGAAAATCAAGTTTTTGTCGATTTTTGACGTGGAATTTCTGGAAGCCCATGTTAACCTTATGAGAAATGAAATTATTGAATCTTAACAGCTGTTTCAATTAAACAAGTTGGTTCTGTTCTGTGATGTTCAATAGCATTAAAGTTACAAGGATTACCAACAGGGTGCAGCACTAGCACTATTATTTCTTTTACATTTATGACAACAGCTAATTTGCAACCTGGAGGCGAGTGAGCGTAGCGAACGAGCTAACCTGAAGGCAAGTGAGCGTAGCGAACGAGCTAACCTGAAGGAAAGTGAGCGCAGCGAACGAGCTCCAACATACAGGTGAGTGAGCGTAGCGAACGAACTTCAACCAGGACGTGATTGAGCCATGCAAACGAGATCAGATAGTAAAAATAAAAGTAAGCCTACCGTTATAGGATCGACCGGCAGACACAGAGGTAATTTAACCTTTTATTGATTGTCATACCGATCCGGAACAACAAAAAACAACATAAAATGAAGCTATGTATAATAGTTTGGCCAGCATATCTTAAAATATGCAAACCAACTGCTGTTCGTTATATAAGAAGGTTTCAACTGAATATTATAAGATCCCCGTGCGTAGAACGGGTACACAGCTAGTTGTACATAATTTTCTCCCACTTTCACGGCCAAATCATGAACGTTTTAATTGCTACAGTAAAATTGAGAAAATCTTCCAAGGTCACAGCATTAAAATTGTCTCACGATCGTGACAAATCTGTGAACATCATCTGCGATCTTGGTAAAAATAAAAGCTTATCTTGGCCAGACCTGAGCCAACCTTGGTGCGTAAATTGTTCCCAGCCAATACCAGGACCTCAGTCCAACTATTGGCCCGACCCGAAAATATCAGAGACCCCTTAGAAAATGGCTGATATCTAAATGAATTTTTCAAAGCAGTCCTCAGTGATCTAGCTTTAGTCTTGAACGTGTTGTATTATTGAGAGTCTGCTTGGTTTCTATTAAGACATTTGTTTGTAGCTGCACATAGAGAAAGAGCAAGTGGCGAACTGCTCGAAGAGCTTTGTCCAGAGATGGGCCTACATCATCTGTGACCAGTGTTGTGCTTACCTTGACATAGAAGTGGTGCCGGGTAAACACGTACCTTCCAACTCTGCTGTGGACAGTCTGGCCAAGTTCAAAGAGAGGCAGCGAGTGGTAAGACCACCAACAATATCAAACTTAGGATAAAAAACCTGATGGCATTTTTGTACAATATACTCTTTCTTGATCAAAACACATCGGTTCCAACTCCTTGCTCTAACATTAGTTTGAACCATAAGAAGGATGGATGGATACGTTTCAATACCACTAATCAAGAAAAATTAGTAAGCTATGGCCTTTGACAGAGAGACTTCTCATAATCTTGAAATTTTTGTCCGTTTAGAATGGGAATTTGCTTAGTTTAATCGCGCCACATACATAGAATGCTGTTGTCATTTATTCCAGTTATAGGCTGAGATCACCCAGTGAATGACCGTTAAAGGTTGACTTTCTACTTGTATCCGACATGGGAAAATATAATACTAAGCTACATTGTAGGAAATAGTTTAAATGTATTGTGCATATTTTCTTGTACTTTCTAATTAATATACAACTTAATGTATTATATCCAAAACAAAGTGTTGAAAAATACAAACAAACCCAAGAGTGCAGGCTCCTATGTAAAACGGCTGTTTTAAAGCAGTATTGTCAAAACATTATTAGTACCATACAATTCATCTTTTTTACTTTGTAAAATTAGATGTGTTCAACCACAATACAATTTAGAATCAACTGATAATTACTTTAGCTGTAGATTATCCTTCTGTAACTAGATAAACTTTTCAAATTATTGGAATTACTTTCACTGTGGTTGTCCTTGGTTGACCTTGATGTTCTTGTCCAAATCTTGTTGATTTTGACTCTTAATTATTTCAGAAAAAGGCTGAAGAAGCTGCTGCTAAAGCTGCCCAGAAACCGTTTACGATGGTCGACCAATCTGGAAAGGTAAGTGTAGTTTACGTTAAAAATAGAACACCCTTAGTAAAAAAAACTGCCAGTTCAACTTGAGTTGTATCTAACTTTTGATTTAAAAAATCAATACTCAATTGTTAAATTTCCTTTTGCATCAGAGCTGGATAAACAAGTAAAAGTTATCAAGGTACACAAATTATAGATTATCTATATACAGTACATACAATATTTTTTAATTCAAAAATTAAAGACCTCGTATATTTTAATTGATTGAATAATTTTGTATGATGTTTTTTAATAACTAGGGTAAAGGGTGAACTATTTTACCCTTTAACACAAAAAACCCCTTTTTGGCAAAATATCAAGTTTGAAGTATCATAACTTTTTGTGTGCTTCCAACTGCATACATTTGATTTTACATGATTAGTTGGGTGTCTGTTCCTTCTTTTATCATGTATTTTTAAATATAGTTAATAACATAAGGGTATTTCCCTCTGTTATTTAAATAGAGTTTCAATCACTTCACACGCAGATGTTTTATAATATGTAGTAAATGTTGCAGGTTGTGAAATCTTTTGCCCCGGTTGAGTTGGAACATCGACCCGTGGCTAAACCAACAGTGCAGCGTAAGTAAAATGTCTGTCTTTTATCATTAGATCTCCATCTCTAGTATATTATATTTATTAAACTAATTTTAACTTAACTTATTTTAGAATTGGGGCATATTTTCAACAAAGACTGTAATAGTAATTTGTAGTAAATTTTATTCTCTTTCAGAATATCACCTTCCACTTTGGTCGACTTTCTCATCATTAAAGGTTATTTCAGGGGTGCCCACAAGGGGGGGCTGTGACGCAGACTGCGTCATTGAAATTCTTGGGGGGGGGGGGGGTTCAAAAAATTAAAATGGGGGGGCTATAGTTAATTGCAACAGTGTTCAACGTGACGAAAATAAAAAATACATTACGAAGTCGCCAGGTAGAAAGTCGATTAATTAATGACAATAGTTATATTATTTCATTCAATTAGAAAAATAGGATTTACTGATAGTTTAGGATTCGTGTAGGAAGTTATTATTCAAGATTAGTAAGACGTGAGATCTATGAGGGAAGGCACGGAATGGCTCAACTGCTGTGATAGATAAAAGATTGGCACACCCTCGTCCAGCTACACCGCGACTTAGCCCAGAACGCTTTGTTAACATAAAGCTAGTTAAAATACAATCAAGTAGCATAGGCTACAATACTTTACACTATTGTTTAGATACAGTACTCGATTACCTGAGTTAATAGGGAGGGGGGTAGTGGGTAATGAAAAATACGGTTAATCCAATATAATATAAAAATAGATGACAAACACATTAAAACGCGGTAAGCAGCCATTAACGTCACGATTTGCATTTTTATAAACAAAATTCAAAATTGCACAATGATTATTATTGTAACTTACATTTCAAATCATTTATCTTGGTTCGGTTGTACAAACGGCATCGTTTAAAATTATAGCTAACTCAAACGTTTTCTGTGCTCAAACACAACCAATAACTAGCCAAACACTGCATTGCTATAAATAACGTAAATATTAAAGGAACCTTTAGAAAGTGTTATAAAAGCTACTGCTCATGATAGACAGATAGCCTACCGGTAGGTGCTGTATCACAGCATAGGAGTTGATAGATAAGTAATAAAAAGGTGTAAAATTATATTTAGAGATAATAAAAACACTCTTAAAAAAGAATGTAACGAGAACAATCTTGTTATTCTTTTTCTTTGTTCTTCTGTTCTTTATAAGTTTTTTTCTTCAATTCATACACAAATTCAACAAGTCTCCATATTTAGGCCTACTCATTGCCCAATCACAGCCTAACTAAAGTTACCATGGTTACTAATCACAGTTTACTAAGCATTATATCGTCATCATTCCCCAGCTGTTGTATCTGAAATCTGTTGTAACATAGCGCACAGCAGACAGAAGTGTATAACGGAGCAGACGATTGTTCGCGCAAGCGTTGTTTCCATTTAATTTTCATCGAAGGAGCTGTGATGTTTCCAAAGAAAGGGAGAGGGTTTCGTTATATCAAGAAAAAGACGCTGACAAATCGTTAAGCAGAGGTTACGAACGCTATATAGCTATTCTGGCAATAAAAAATTCCTTAAATTGAGGTGATTTATAATACTCTAATTATATTTATATAGAAAGATAAGTTTTCCAGTCCTGTACAACACTGATTCACGTACGGTCTTTTCCCGGTACCTAATCAAAATTCAAGTACAACTTGATATACACAGAATCTCCGGTTCCCGACCTGGATGATGGCTAGTTATTTATTTTTTAAATTTACAGTTACATATTAGTACCCGTGATAAATCAAACCCGTTATTTAAACTAAAGCCACACGGTTAATTATCTCACTTGGTTTTGGATTTGCTTACAAACGTGATTGGAAATGGTTACAAACGTGATCGGAAATGGTTAGGGCCTAAACAGTATTATTCGTAAATTCGTAAACAACGTTTATTTTTGTAAACATATCAGTGACAGCTAGAAAAATGAATTGTTATCAAAATAGCTGTTCGTAATTTCATATATGACGTGTTCTCTTAACAGATTATTAATATTTCATAAATGACGTGTGTTAACGTATGTTTCCTAACATGGAGAAAAAAACTAGAAAAATGACACAAAATTGGGTTTTTAATCGTCCGTTATTTTATTTCCAAAATAGTGAGGCCATGTTTTAATGGCTAAGGATGACACTCCTGTGAATACAATTAAACCATTAGAATCATAATCGGTACTCTAGTTTTCTTTAGAGTAGGCTGCGTAAAACGCATTCTGGGCCGTGACAGACGGACATAAATTGATATAAGACATGTTTCAACTTCTTCAATGTATAAAACGTAAAAATAAACCAAAACATGTATAATTCTGAGCAATGTATAGACAAAACTATTTATATAGATTAACTAGGTTTGAATTTGTAATATAAAAAAATGTATAAAACTTATTTTAGTTTTACAAATAGTGCTTGGCGGGGAATAATGTTTCTCATTTGTTGTGTACCTCATTTATTGGGGGGGGGGGCTGTTGCTCAATTGGGGGGGGGGCTGTTGCTCAATTGGGGGGGGGGGCTGTTGCTCAATTGGGGGGGGGGGTGTGTCATGAGTCTAGGGGGGGAGGATGGGCACCCCTGGTTATTTGCAAAAAAAGATAATCAACCTCCAAATTTATAGTGTAGATTTGCAAATAATGGGAAAGTTGAATTTTTGTAAAGATTTTAGTAGTAATGGGTTTGACGGTATGCAGGGTCTTATAGCACGTGTGTTTATTAACCACTGATTGTTGTTTTATTGTTATTTATTTCCTTTATTTTTCTTTATATACATATTTTTGTTTACAATTTGCATTTGTAGAAGCATATGTACTATTGTTCTAGAAACCTTTGTATTTAACCACAACGGGGCTCTTTGGGTAGTATATTTATATGATCTCATTTGCCAACTACTATTGAAGTTCATCACCAGTTGGGAGAAGTGTATAGATTAAAGTGTTTAATTTAAATTTGCATGTGGATTGTAGTGTGTTTAAACAACTAGTATATTTCTTGGTCAAAATACTTTTCAGCACTTTTCTACACCTTTGTCAAATGGCAAGAGTAATCAACAGGCTTTCACAACACCTTGTCACAGAACACCATTCAGACTTGGTAGGAGCATCAATTTTCCTTCTTAATACTGTGACAAGACTAAATTGTCTCTTAGGGGAGGAAACCCGCCTTGTAAACAACCCTTGTGAAATCCCTAGACTCTTAAGTTCCCAGGTAAGCTAGCTGAACACTCCAACCTCTTGGATCTCCTAAAGATGTAATGTGTTCTGTGATTTTTCAGCTACTTTTGTGAGACCTACTGCCCTTAATCAATGTTTCAATTGTGACTTCCCGGAGACGCCGATTGGTGAGTAATGATTGTGTATCTAAAGCAGCATGTGCTTGCTATTTTTGAATAGAGGTTTACTTTAAACTCTTAAGAGTCGTTGAACAGAAAACGTTTAAGGTTCCATTCATATTCTAGATGTTTAATTAACATTATTCTTTGTTACTGTTGAAGACTCATAATTAAATATTTATCACAATACTTTTTTACCAATCAACATTTCTATTACAAAATCCCAGTGTAATGCTAGCTAATTACTGCTATTTCCTAAATCTAATGTTTTTTACTAATGATAACACATTTTTACCCTGGTCAGGTCGAGGAGCAAATCCTAGAACTCAAAGAAGATGTGCTGTGGGGTTCAAAAAAAGTAAGTCCAATGTTATATTTATCCTAACATTTAACAGACAAAAGTGTGTCTGTTTTTGCATTGTATACACCATAGCTAAGTAGAGAAGGTAAGCAGTGATTAAAGCAGCATAAGATGAGTATGAGCGGGAACCGGTTCTCTTGTATTTATGGCGCTTCTTGAGGTATGTTCTTTGCAAATATAGAATGGGTATACTTTTTGGGATGTATAATTTTGTGGTGCCAGTAGGAGGTTGTTGGTGCTTAATTTTCACATACAGTAAATGTTTTGAGTTATTTAATGTTTTTATCCTGAACATCGATCAAGGTTTTGAAGGTTAATGCCAAGGTTAATGAAGGTTAACACAATGTGGACCGTTATTGCTGTGTTGTATAGACAAAAAATATTATGATTATTCTGTATACTTAGTACAACCTCTAAACAAAAAGTGAGGAGGGATTTCTTTTGGTCCAGATATCAGGTATTTTGGTATGTAAACATTTTGTAAGGTACATGTACGGTATCTGTAACATGTACGGTAACAAGTACTGTAACATGTACGGTATCAATAATTTTATTACATCATATCCTTTTAGGGAAATTAGCTAAAGTGTCCGTGAACACGATAACTCCAGTAATTTTGGTCCCGTTTTGTTGAAATTTGGTATGAATTAGAGTTGGATAAACTTGATTGAGTTAGTGAACCAACAAGATCGTTTAGTAAAAACATGGCACAATAGGTTTATTCAATGTTTCATTTAATGTGAGTGTTAAGTTTACAACTATCTAATTAACAACATGTTAAATAAAGAGAAAAATATGAGTGATCATCTTAACCCCGATAGGATTGAAAATAAGTATTTTTCCCTTATTACTTCTTACAGTTTTCTTGTTATCTCACAGGTTCTCCACGGATGAGTTAAGCTGCTTTACAAAACTAAACTCCAGCTGCCTGGATTTGCCCTCCGATAATCAGGGAAAGCAGCAAATACAAAATAAAGACCAGACCAACAGAAAAGCAAGATATTAAGTTAGTGTTTAGTCAGGGGTGCCCACAAGGGGGGGCCGTGACGCAGACTGCGTCATTGAAATTCTTGGGGGGGGGCTCAAAAAATTCAAATGGGGGGGGGGCTAAAGTTAATTGCAACAGTGTTCAACGTGACGACAATTCAAAATACATTACGAAATCGCCAGATAGAAAGTGGATAATTAATGACAATAGTTATATTATAGAATTAAATTAGTTAAAATAGGATTTTAGGATAGTTTAGGATTCGTGTAGAAAGTTATTATTTAAGATTAGCAAGACGTGAGATCTAAGAGAGGGAGCGCACGGGATGGCTCAACTGCTGTGATAGATAAAAGATAACGCGTGGTACAGACACGTCCAACTACACCGCGACTTAAGCACAGCAGAACGCTTTGTTGACATAAAGCTCGTTAAAATACAATCAAGTAGCAAGTAGCATAGGCTGCAATACTTTACACTATTGTGTATACTCGATTGCCTGATTTAATAGGGAGGGGGGGAATGAAAAATACGGTTAATCCAATATAGTATAAAAACAGATGACAAACTCATTAAAACGCTGTAAATAGCCATTTACATTTTTATAAACGAAATTCAATATTGCACAATCATTATTATTGTAAATTTCAAATCATTTATCTTGGTTCAGTTGCACAAACGGCAACGTTTAAAATTGTAGCTAACTCAAACTCAACTAATCACTAGCCAAACATTACATTGCTATAAATAACGTAAATATTAAAGGAACCTTTAGAAAGTGTTATAAGGTACTGCTCATGATAGACAGATATGCTACCGATAGGTGCTGTATCACAGCATAGGAATTGATAGATAAGTAATAAAAAAGTGTAAAATTATATTTAGAGATAGTTAAAACACTCTTAAAAAAGAATGTAACGAGAACAATCTTGTTATTCTCTTTCTTTGTTCTTCTGTTCATTAATAGGTTTCTCTTCAATTCATACACAAATTCAACAAGTCGCCACATTTAGGCCTACTCATTGGCCAATCACAGCCTTACTAAAGTTACCATGGTTATCACTCAATCACAGTGTACTAAGCATTATATCGTCATCATTCCCCAGCTGTTGTATCTGAAATCTGTTGTAACATAACGCACAGCAGACAAAAGTGTATAACGGAGCAGACGATTGTTGGCGCAAGCGTTGTTTCCATTTCATTTTCATCAAAGGAGCTGTGATGTTTCTAAAGGGAGGGAGAGGGGATCGTTATATCGAGAAAGACGCTGACAATTCGTTATGGATATTCTGGAAATAAAAAATTCCTTAAATTGAGGTGACTTATAAAACTCTAATTTTATTTATATAGAAAGATAAGTTTTCCAGCCCTGTACAACACTGATTCACGGTCTTTTCCCTGTAATCAAAATTCAAGTACAACTTGATACACACAGAATCTCCGGTTCCCGACCTGGATGATGGCTAGTTATTTAATTTAATTTATAGTTACATATTAGTACTCGTGATAAATCAAACCCGTTATGTAAGCCAAAGCCACACGGTTAATAATCTCACTTGGTTTTGGATTTGCTTACAAACGTGATCGGAAATGGTTAGGGCCTACACAGTATTCAAAAAGAACATTTATGTAAACATATCAGTGACAGCTAGGAAAAGGAATCTTTATCAAAACAGCTGTTCGTAATTTCATATATGACGTGTTCTCTTAACAGATTATTAGTATTTCATAAATTAATGACGTATGTAGTAAACATGGAGAAAATAAACTAGAAAAATCACACAAAATTGTATTTTTGATCGTCCGTTATTTTATTTCCAAAATAGTGAGGCCATATTTTAATGGCTATAAGGACTCTCTCGCCAATCCTGTGGATACAATTAAACCATTAGAATCATAATCGGTACTCTTTTTAGTTTTCTTCAGAGTAGGCCATGAGTAGGCTGCATAAAATGCCTTCTGGGCCGTGACAGACGGACATAAATGGAGATAAGACATGTTTCAACTTCTTCAATGTATAAAACATAAACAACCCAAAATATGTATAATTCTGAGCAATGTACAGACAAAATTATAGATTAATTAATATGGATTAATTGGGTTTGAATTTTAAATATCTAAAAAAATTATAAAACTTTTTTTATAGTTTTACAAATAGTGCTGGGCGGGGGAATAATGTTTCTCATTTGTTGTTGTACATCATTTATGGGGGGGGGGGCTGTTGCTCAATTGGGGGGGGGGGGGGGTGCGTCATGAGTCTAGGGGGGGATGGGCACCCCTGGTTTAGTACCATTTGTCGTACACCGTACCACCATGTTTTTTCTACTATTTAGTTCAAAATTGCTTGTTCATTTTGCTATTTGAGCCTGATAATGTAGCTCTTAAAAACAATGAGCTAGGTATTTTTTTTTATTAACTGTACCACTATGCTTTTTTTGTAATAATTCAAAATTGTTTGTTCACTTTTCTCTTAGGCTTCTGAAAGTTCAGACAGAAAGTAATTTTCTTGAGAAAATTTAGGAAACTTTGCTAAGGAAAGATTGTTGGAAGTTGACTAAGTTGATAAATAACACGGTATTTCAGCTATATGAATTCTGTGTTAAAAGAATTAAGTAAGTTGGTGTTTTAAGATGTATATGTGGTGTTTATAAAAGCGCTATAAACATGTTACCTATGTAAATTAATATTTTTATTACTACTAGTCCAATTTTGTAATTTAAATATTTATTAAAAGTGTATTTAATTTATATACATTTGCTGTTGTGATTTTTTTTATCAACCCAATGTTGTTTTTATTAAAAACAATCATAAGGTAGGATTTTAAATAATGATCTTGCGTCAAAAATCTTTGGCTTATCCTAATGCAGAGATTTCAACCAAATAGTTGCTTTTATATTTTAACTGTATAGTTATAAAAAATGATCTCTCAACCTAAATTTATTTCATACCCAGTATTTAGGTATCTGTAAAGTTTGGCAATGATGAAGGAGTTAGAAGGCTCATCTGAATAGGAATGGCTGCACTGTTTGTGGCACAAGACATGCTAAAACGTTATAACATACGGTACACTAAATTTATGTTCTTGATAAAGACTGACTGTGATAATTATGCCTGTAACAGGAGAGAGAGAGAGAGAATAACTTTTAATAAAAATCGTTAAGATTTTACAGGCGTCAGGGTAAGGTTATTGTTATAATAGGTGAGATTGTGAAGTGTGTGTACTTCAAATAATAGGTTCTCTCCAGTTCATAAATTCTTTAACAGTATAAATAACTGCTTCAGGTGAGATTATTGGTTGGGACACACAGACTTCAGTTCTTCTGGTAGAATATTGTAGAATCTGGCTCCGGCGTAGGAAGGTTTCATCTCGAAAAACTTCCTGTGATGAAAGGGCAGGTTGAAATCTCCAGCATGTCTGGTGTTGTAGGAGTGAAGATGGCCATTTATTTTGAGGCCTCTGGAGCATGCGGAGTCCACAGCTTCCAAGATGTATACGGCTACAACAGTGAGTATTCCCCAATCTCTGAAAGTCGTTCTGCAGCTATCCCGCCAACCCATCTTTGCCATTGTTCGTATGGCTCTCTTCTGGAGTAGTAGGACTCTTTCCAGATTGGCGCAGGATGATCCTCCCCAGAGGGATACTCCATAGTTCATGTTACTCTCGGAAGAGGGCGTGGTAAGCGACTCTTGCTGTATCCAAATGTACTGGAGGCCATGACTCTTCTGATTGCGAATAATGCGCTACTTTAACTTCATGCAGAGGATATCTTATCTACATGGAGTATCCATGTAAAAGTGGAATCGATGGTCATCCTTAGATGTGTTGTAGAGCTCACGGTGTCAAGGTTCGGCAAGCCAGGAAAGGGTTTTTTACCGAAAGTCAGTTGCTTGGTCTTGTCTTCGTTAAACACAAGGTTGTTTTTTTGACAGTAGTTTAATGCAACATTCAGAGGATTTTACTTTGAGAGTATCCAAGGACTTGCTGGAGGATACGAGTACAGAATCATCTGCGTACATGCACTGTCCATAAGCGTTGACACATTCTGGTAGGTCGTTGGTGAAGAGAATGAACATCACTGGCCCCAAGACAGAACCTTGAGGGACGCCTCTTGTGAAAGGAAGTAGTGGGCTGGATCTAATCATCTTTGATACTTTTTCGTCTTTCCGGTGGATTTCAACTACTTGCTGTCTGTCTGAAAGGTAGCTAGAAAACCACTTCAGGGCAATATTTTGAATTCCTAAGGCTTCTAGTTTTGACAGGATCAGGATCATGGCCTAAGCAGTCAAATGCCTTGCTTAGGTCAATGAAAATTCCGGCGACGGTCTCCCCCTCTTCTAGGCAGTCTATCACATGTTCACGAAGGTCCACCAGAGCTGTCATTGTTGAGCGGCCTTTGATGAAGCCGTGTTGTCTTTTAGTCAGGAGATCATTTGCAATCATATATTCAAGTAGCCTGGATAATATAACCTTCTCCACTATCTTAGATACTGTCGGCACCAGTGATATTGGCCTAAAATTGCCAACTTCATCCCTTTTCCTTCGTTAATGTGAAGGGTATATCAAGTCCTAGGCCAATATTAGCCTTGAGCAACTATAGTGGCGACACCGGTGGCCAATGCGTAGGCGGGCATGGACTAAAATGGTGCCTTAGCCACGGGGTGATTGTCTCCGAAAAAGTGGTTCGTGAAGTTATCGGCATCGGGAGTGTTTCTGCCTGGCAACCGGTGTCGCCACACCACCGTTTTAGTGGCCGGGCAGTCGGGGGGCAATGCGGGAACTATGGTCCCATACACACCAGTGTATTCAATCATCTAAGAGTATTTTTTTTTCAATTGGGCCATGGGCTGTAACTGGACCCAGCTTTCCTTGATCATTAGTTTTTTTTTTAAATAATGGTCCTGGCATTTTGTGGCGTCCCCATCTCAACTGGTAATAATAATAATAATATACAACAAACACCGTCGCTTACTAATCGTGATATCATAGATTAAAGATTATTTATATATCAACTAATCAACGGTTTCGTTTTAAAGTAACCAAAAAGCTACCAATTAAACAGCCGTTACATTAAAAGTAGCAGGAGCTGTTTCTCGGCATTACTACGAACAGGCGAGTGTTACACCAAGGGAGTATGTTTTATCTATGGTTACACACTTGCTGGGTCTGACCATTAAATTATGTGAATGGTTGATAAAAGTAATCCTTTCTATGGCTAACATACTAAATGTAGTATGTTTTATCTATGGTCTGACTTAGGGGAGGTACGAATGAGGCATTTAGTTCAAAATTCCTCCATGAACAGCGCTGTAGTAGAGAGCACTTTGGCAATGAAGGTTTAGGCCTACTAATCGCAAAAATAGTTCTGTTCATAAAATAAAATTATAAATGTCTCAAATTCAATTTTATTATTTTTTAATTATAAAATTAAACTATCATAACCTAACCGAACCAACCAAACTTGCCAATAAAGAAATAATATGAAAAAAGTTTAGTAATCGGAAAAATAATTCTGTTTATTAAATAAAACTAGAATTTGCTCAAATTTTATAATGACTAAAATAAAATTAAACTGTAATAACCGAACCAAACCAACCAAACTTGCTGATAATAAAAAAATCTTGGACAAAAAGTTAATGATACCAGCAGGATTCAAACCCGGGACCTACAGTATAACAGCCCGGCACGCTATCCATTAGACCACCGAGGCCGATGGCAGTCTACTGTTTTGTTACGGTAATGGCGTTCCCTCAGCTAATAAGAAGCCCACAGCTGTCATCGTAGCCTCTTCTATACCTCCCCTGAGTAAATACCGTCATTACCCACACTTGCTCTTGCAGATTGCGGACTTGCACTTGTTTTAATTTGATTTGAGAATTCCAGTCCAGTTCTGTTCCAGCAGTTCCAGAGACAGGCCAGTCCAGTCTCCACCCTCCACTCCAGTCCAATCACCACTCCAATCTGCACTCCCTAGTCAGTCCAGTTAAATCTCATTGATGTAGATGTAGATGAAGATGGTGATGGTAGATTGGTGTGGTGTGGTATTGGTGAATGGTGGTAGATTAGATTCAGATTGTAACTGTAAGTAAGACGAGACCTTGCCGTCAGACCGTCACCGCCTTTTTTTCGTCTGTCTAGAAACGGGACAGCGGAATTGAAATCCGAACTAAACATCTGACCGCTGGTTTCTGCTTCTGTCATCACCGAGCTTGTTTTAAATTACGCGGGAACAAAGTACAGTAGCCGTTTAATGTTAAATATAAGTCTAAATATGTTAATTGAAAATTATTTCTAGAATAATTATTAAAAATTACAAATAGCTATATAAGTCCAAATAAAGATGAATTACATAAAAATCCTAACTATTATTACTTGTTGTTTACACTGTTTATATAACAAAAGTATAGAAAGAAAAAGTTTAATTCCATGTCATTCTAGCTTACAGGTAGGCCTATTTTCAGCTGTGAACATTTTAAAACTAGTAACATACCTCGTGTTAAAATTCCTGGTCTTCGTCTTCAAAATAAATTCTTCTTCAAAAGCGACAATTTAACACATATTATATTACACACTAACACACACAAATAATATTTTTACATTTATTTACAACATTTTCTTCATCTTGGAAACTGTAACAACAAAATGAACATAAAAATTAGGCTATTTTAAATGAGAAATATCTTCTTGTGAATTTTCTATAGGCCTACTTGTTTATTTTGTTTGTTTGTCAGTGTCACAAGTTACTCAACATGGGTCTACGTTTATGTTTGTAGGTTCTCTGTGAAAATATCTGGGATGTCAGTGTGTGTGTTCAAGTTCAAAAACTTTTATTTTAGTAAAAGATTTCACCAGCATACCACTGGGCCGAGTGAATACAAAAAAGTACAGCAAGTATTTACTTGCGAGTAAATACTTGCAAGTATTCATCGTTCAGGTAATCTCTTGTGAATAAAAGCGACTCTTTACTTGCAAGTAAATCCTATACTCTAATACGAGCAATGTTTGCTTGTATGTATGTATGCTTGCACCAAGATCTCGAAAACGGCTCCGACGATTGTCTTCAAATGTTGTAAATAGTTTATTTTTGGTCTAAAAATGAGTTTATTGCAGTTAGAACTGCCAACAAAATTCTAATTACGTAGAAAAATGAAACTGAAAGTCTTATGGGTTGCTAAGTAACCATGTTAGTTGAATTGAATAACAAGGAAAAAGTAAACAAAAGACTTGTTAGTAGTCTATCCACAGTATACTAGCAATTACAAAATACAGTACAAAAGGAAAAACATCAGTTGTTACTATTGAGCAAAGATGATACTGAAGATTACTGGATACATTGTAGGAGGACTTTTTTTATCAATAATAGTAAAGGCTAGCAGTGTGGAGTGTGGGAACTGTTTATGACGATTAGATTAAGGCATCTGCAATCCTCAAATGCTATGGGAAGGGAGGGAAACAGGTCTGCGACGTAGGAAGTGGTGAAGGGAGTAGTAAAGGTGAGCAGTCTGGAGTGTGGGAACTGTTAATGGGGATTAGATTAGGGTATCTGCAATCCTAAAATGCAATGAGAAGGGAGGAAAACAGGTCCATAACGTAGGAAATGGTGAAGGAAGTAGTAAGGCTAGCAGTGCAGAGTGTGGGAACTGTCTGTATCTGCAAATCTAAAATGAGGGCAAACAGGTCCACAACGTAGGGAGTGGTGAAGGAAGTAGTAAAGGTAAGCAGTGTAGAGTTTGGGAGTGGATTAATGTATCTGCAATACTAAACTGTTTTCAGAGTAAACTAATGATTTTCCCCGAGCAAAGCTTGGTCCCCAGGTACTACTTCCTAAATGAGGTGGTATACTGATCTATCGGATATGAGGGTATACTTGCAAGTATGTACTCCATTTTAAAGTAAACATTATACAGTACAAGTATATATATATATTATAGGCTATATATGATAAATATATATATTATTGAAGGTCTAAGGCCTTCATTTAAACATGTAAAATGTGAAGGTTTTGCATTATTGAGACTTGTGGATGGATTTTCATTAACAAATAGCTTGAACATAACGAAGGAATACCACAAAGGTTCCATCTTCAACCCAAGCATTATTTTGCGGAAATCACTAGTGTCATACATAATTTAAATAAGTGTATTACACCATACTGAATGTGTTACATGCATTTATCAACAAGTTAACTTAAACAAGCATGGGTTACTGATAACTAGTTGAAAAACAAGTATTTACTCTTTAGGCAAGTATTTGCTGGTGGTTATTCACACCAAATTTATAGGTTTCTGAGGGTATATACTTTCTTGGAAAGGCTTTTTAGAAGTACAAGTAAATACTCATGCTTATTCAATTCTGTTTAAGTAAATACTCAAATTATGAAAATTCAAGGCAAGTAAAAAAATTTTAAGTACAAGAACTTTAACTTAGAAAATAAGAATGTGTAAGCTGTTACTATTTCATTTAATTTATAATTGATGGTTGATTATTACCTAATGATTAAAAATTATTAAATATATTTCTTTTACAAAGTTTTATTGGTTTTATTTACAATCTGTTTTAAATTAAATGATAAGTAAATATGATGACATTTATATAAATTAAATAAAAATTGGGGGAAAAATGTATTATTAATAATAAGACTACAGTTAACAATAATGTATTACTGTTTAAAGTTATGGATTAAATAAACTAGTCTTAATATTGATCTTAGCCTACCTGGTTAAGCAACACATGGAGTTGAAGGTTCAACCCCTGTACTGAGCAACAATGCTGTTAAAGCAATGTGCTGAGATTCTTCTCGTGTAGGCCGGGAAGTTGCTTTCAACCCTTTTTTCTTTTTGTTTTTGGTTTGAAAAAAAAAACGCCTTTGAGGCTCGATTTTTATCTTTTTGGTCTTGGTTCTTACTTTTAAGGCAATATTCCTTTGTTTTATCGATGTCAACTTTGCATCTAGGTTTTTCAGGCATTGATCAGCTACTTTTAAACTCTTCGGGTTGTCAATTTTATTTAAAATTGACTCAACACGTTGCCTTAGTAGAAGTTTGTCAGTACTAGTCTCACTCTTGTGGGCAGAACAGTTTTAGTTGAGACTTCTGCCAATATTGATTTTCTTTCTTCCAAACTTTTGACTTGATCTTGGTTAAGGGCTTCTTGATTAAAGGCTTCACCTTGATCTTCCGACATCAATTTCCGACATAGTAGGTGCACATGTTTACACATGTTAGATTTAATGCATGCATCAATGCATGTGCATGTGAACTTGTGTATGCATGCTGTACACTGCTTGCAAATAATGCTACATGGACATTCTTCTTTTATCTGACAAATCGTGTACATTTCTGCAGAATTTGATGACGCCACGTTCCACGAATTTTCTAAAGTTTCAGACTTAACAATTAAGTCTGGGTTCATGGACAAAGAACTTTTGTGACGGTTTCTGAGAATTTTTATTTTTGAAGTTAGTTTTCCCTTTTCAATTATTAGTAATCTGTCAAAGAGTTTCTGCCTAATGAGTTGCATGATTGCACTTATCGCTTTATCAAGTCGATTGACAGTTTTTCCTTATTCCAATATAAAATGCTTTATTGTTTTATGCATACTTTCCAGATGCATGTTAGTGTTAATTCCTACATTTACTCGAAAACAGTATGCCCATGAATGGTAGTTTGACCCGTAATGTTCCTTGAAGTAATCACCATATTCTTCGGTGGCTTGGTCGCTGCGAAGTTCGTCAATAACTGGTCCCAGCATTGCCAAGAATGCATTCGGATCTGTTTCTTCCAGCAGAACTCTTAACTTCTTGTATACTGCTTGTCTTTTATCACAATCTTTTATCTTTGACAGATTCTTTTGCCATGCACGGTCGACATGCCATGTACAATAAAGTCTGTTATCAACTGGGCCCATTACTTCTTTCCACGCGTTATAAAATGATTCAGCCATGTCTGACATGAACGCATTAGGATTTATCATTCCAACTTTCTCTCGGATTGCTGAAAGAAATTCACTCACAGCAGATTTATCTGTTCTGTTTGTGATAAAAAATGCACACGGAAATCCTTGTCTCATATTGTCAATTACCATAACGGTTACCACTTCAAAATCATAAGCGCCCAAACCGTGAGTACTGTCTATACAAATACAGTCTGAACCAAACTTTTTCAAAAGTTCTCCTTGTGCCTCAGTCATTATTGCAAGAGCGAAATCATTCTTGGCGAATGTGGCAGTTTCATCAACCCCTTGTGGTTTATATAACGCAACACAGTCATTTTCACCCTTTTGGCCTTGTACCCATGCTTCGACACTAATGGCATCGTTCGAATGACGCATAGTCTCATTAAGACCGAATTCTTTTTCAATATTATACAGATCTTGTTTCGTCAGTAAATGTATTCTTTTTAGCGAGTTTGGTTGCAAAGTTGACCGAACTTCTTCAAGTATTGTGCCAAAAGGAATTTTATTTGATATTTTTCCGGCGATATCTTGACGTTCATCAAAGGTCAAAGGTTTGTGAGCTAGGTCAAAAGTGTGGCCTACATGAGTCTCACAGTACTCTACTTCGACATTTCCATTTTCAAAAAACGTTGCCTTTATTGAGAAAGGACAGAAACCATTTATTTTGCAGGAACCCTGTATCTTTGTTTCCCTTTTTCTTTTGCCGGATATAGGCTTAGGTTCAAAGTTTCCCGATCTATTGCACTTAAAATAAATTCTCTTCTTACCAGATAGAATCCTCTGTCCTGTTTGTTTTGTGAACAACACATTTTCCTTTTCCTCCGTCTTGCTTTTCCAAGTGTAGAAATCTGACGCACTAGAAAAACTAAGAACTGACTTGACAAAAGTCTTATCGCAAAACTGGCACACATTCATTGTTGACAGTTGACACCACGCGACCACGCGACCGGACAGACAGCATCGAATTTGACGTTTAAGTTCGGCACTGCTCGGTAAGATTCGGAAGCGTTCGGCACAGCGCAGTAGTGGGGGAAGCGTCGTTCCGATTTCAAATTCCGCTGTCCCGTTTCTAGACAGACGAAAAAAGAGCGGTGACGGTCTGACGGCAAGGCCTCCTTAAGTAAGTTAGTCGTGTGGTATACTAAACACTACACGTCGGTAATTTTTCAAACTTGTCTTTAGATTGTCGGAAGGCATTTCAGCTACAAAATCTTCAGTTTGATTCGATTACTGTCCTCGTAAAGCAAACAAAGGTAAGTCGTGGCTCTTGATCCTAGATTTCTTTCATTAGGATATGCTAGGCCTAGCCTATCTGCCATTTACCACTGCTCCCTTCCACAGGAAAAGTAAAATTTATTATTCCTTGCTGACGTTACTAACTATCGCAGGCTAGGATTTGTGAAGTAAGAAACCTTGTTTTTTAGGATTGATAAACAGTTAACTTAACCCTAGCCTAGCCCTTTTTTAGACTAAGTTAGGCCTAGGCCTAACCTAGGAGTTTTGGCAGTCAGGTCAAGTGTAAGTTTTAAATGTTTTTACTGTAGGCTAGGCCTATTTTGGAGTTTTCAAAAGCTCTAGGAAATTTTACCGTTCAAATATTTTATAACCTGCCGGTAACTTAGGTCTAGGCTATTCAGTAGCTTCTAGCCTCTTGGCTACATCTACCCTAAACTTTGTGTACCCTAGGCCTAGCCTATTCCTTAGAATAGGCTAGGCCTAATAGTAGGGCTGATTACTAAAAATTGTTAAGATAGAAATTAAATGAAATGTCTTTATTTGCTTTTAACATGAAAAACATACATTGCAATCGTCAATGTTACAGTCACTTAACATACAAAGCAAACCATGCATAAATACAGATTTGAGTACAAAACCATGCGTTCTACTCTACAAAGTTCTACTCACACAAAAGGCTAGGCATACCTATTTTTTTAAGATAGGCCTGAGTAAAGTCACAGTTTGAATTGTGGTCATAGGCCTAGCCCTTCAAACCTAACTTAGGAGGTGTAAGTTGGAGCCTAGGCCTACTTACGGTAGTTAGCCTAGGCCTATTTCGATCACTGATGTCTTGCTAGAATTAGGATTTAAGTTATTTCACTATTCTTATGCTAAATAATGTCCTGAATCCAAGAATTATTGTCATTTTCTCCGGAAAAGCGCCGTTTCCCCGGTAAAGTGGAAAACAGGAAATTAACATTTTTTGCAGAAGTGGTCATGAGGGTAATCAAATTAACTGGTAGAGTGAGCTGAACAAGAACATTCAAGAATTTTTTATCAAAAATTCGATGGATATTAACGAAGATAAGTTTGCCTACAACCGGGATAGTGCCGTTTTCCCGGAAAATGATGAAGAATTAATTTATTTAAAAACAAACATTTTATGTAAGTTATCTAAGTAAATAGTGGGATTTCACGTTGGTTGCGTTAACTTTTAAGTTAGGTTATGTTAAGAAGGGTTAGGTAAGGATAGATAGGTTGGTTGGGTTAGATAGGTTAGATTGGTTTAGGTTAGGTTAGGTTAACTTAACTTATTAATAAAATGGGTAAATCAATAGAATAGGCTACTTATTGTTAGTAACCTAACCCAACATAACTTAGCCTAACTTAACTTAACCCTCCAAGTGTCCATAGTTTAGGCCTTAATGTCCACCTATTTTTGGCGCATTTGCAAGGTTTTATTAAAACCGATCTGAGAAGCTTAAAACAATGTTAATTCTACTGTTCTATATACCATTTTGTTTGGAAAATCATGGGCTTCAATATTATACATAAAACATAAGGAACATTTGTTTCAAAAAAACTTTTAGGTAAAAAAAAAATATTTTGGAAAATTTTCAAAAAAAAAAAAATAAGTTTGCGCTCAATTAAATTATATAAATTATAGGCCTATAAATATTTGAAAACAGCCACTTTGTTCTAAATTTTATGAGGATTACAAATATATAATAATATAAGGAAGTAGATTTGCAAATACATAAGTTATGGGCAAAAAACAGATTTCAGTAGGCCTACATAGCGTTTAGCTAAGAATGCATAGCCTAACCATAGCTAGGAATCTGGCTGATAATTTACATCAATATCACTACCTACTTCTTCAGGATCATAGAAACCAGCCCTTCAATCACTTAAATCTTCTTATAATGCACCACGTATATCACTACTTTTGATTTTTAACACTAAAACAATGATAAACGTAATAAAACACATCAGTCATCGGTCCGAGGGTAACCTAGCTATTTACAAATACGCACGTCAGCTGTCTGCTACAATTACGATCGGCTCGGAGAACATACAGCGCTGAGACAGACCTCTGGAGAAAGCTTAGAATATAACGAAAAGAACGATAGGCCTACCTAACTCGATCCAGTTCAATCCGATTCAGTCAGTCATAGAGCCTTTGCCGTAAAACGATGTTCGCGCGTCGATTTTTCGACGATGGACGCTCGGAGGGTTAATATAGCCATAGTCTAGAGTGATCTAACCAACTATTTTTGGTCATTTTGGCGCTAACCCTCATGACCCGTTTCCGCCAAAATAACTAAGTTAATTGTGTTTTCCATAGAAAATGGCAATAATTTTTAAATTTAGGACGTTATTTAGCATAAGTGAACAAAATTTTATTTTAATAAGACGTCTGTGATTGATATAGCCTAGGCTAAAGTAATTACCCGTTGGTAGCCTAACTTAAAAGGTTAAGGGGCTATGCCTAAGTAACATAATTGCTTGAATGCCGAGCGTCTCGTAGCGAGACGCTCAGAAAATTACTTCAACAGGGGGAAGGTGTTGTACAATGGACCTATTTTACCTTTTTAGGTATTTTTTATTTTTATATGACACTTTAAAACACAATAAATGTTAGTGAAAAGTAACTTAATCATTGTTCTTCAACACAATACATTTGATTTAACCCTTTATTTTCTCCCAAAACAAATATTTTCAATTATTAAAAATATATTAACATTAGCACCAAAGTACAATAGGCCCTACCTATGTTGTACCTCGGACCTACATATGTTGTACCTTGGACCACTAATTTTAAAGTAGGGGAAATAAATGTAGAAACACATTTAAATGTTAAGATTAATAATTAGTTTTTATTTGATAAAATATTTTAAAAACTGACCCTTACAATACATATTAGCGAATTTCCCATAGGCCTATAGGGAATAAGCTATTACCGTAGTACTCATGGTAAGACCTGGACGCGGGACCGATTTTTTTTTTCGTTTTGAGGTCCCTAGAGGCCAAAAACACCATCCGTTCAAATTCATATATATAGGCCTAGGCTATGTGTCCGTCAGCACGATAACTCGAGCAAAAATGATCCAATTTTGATGAAATTTGGTACAAACGTGTAAACCTACGTTTATTCGAACGAGTTCGCGATCCAGCATGGTCGGACCATGGGAACGGGGGCTTACGGGGGATTTTATGGGGTAAAAATAGGTTTTTCCCATTTTTGACCCAAAAAACATAAAATTTAGCAATTTCTTTCCAAACCATTTTGTAGAGCTTAAAAAAACAAATAATTTAGTATATTGAAGCGTTATTATGCGCCTAATGGTTAGGCCTACGGAAAAAATTTGTAATTTAAAATTCCCATGTTATTCTTATGGAGAATAAGTAAACTGTTGTAGTTTGCTTGTTTATGAACATATTTTGATCAAATTTGGAAAATGTTTTTATTTCTTACTAACTATTAACATTTTACAGAAAAAAACAGTTTTACCCTCCCTGATGCAGCAACCTAGTACTTGTTAAACTAATTTTATTTAAATCGGGAATAAATGTTATATTTTTAAGTAGACATTTCAGTGTAAATCCAATCAGTCAAATGGAAATTCGCTTAGTCTGCAGGTTTGCTGCGGCGGGGGTATTTAATCATATTTTGTAAGAAATTCACTCAAGTTCACTTAAAACTCCCTAGTTAAGGCCTACGTCAAATATTCGTCTATCTGTCTTGGGGGCTCTGTCCTGTTCGTTTATAGCAAATTAAATTACAAATGCCTATAATAAACCTTTTTGACAGAATTATTAAAGTCTGCTTTTTCTACCTTTCACTCAAAAGAATATAATATCTATAAATGGTTGAATGGAATTTTTTTATAATAATAATGAATTTAAAAAAACAAATAAAAACTTTGAGTATACAACCAAGATAACAACTAAACTTATCTGAATAAAAATATTTGATCAATATTTGTGTTATTTTTTAATACTACACACATTTATTAGTAAGCATGCAAAATACACACATTTTTTTAGTAAGCATGCAAAATTTGAAAATCCTACTTACCTTGAAAAATAAGCTTACGTTCAGGGTTCAAAATAAATTGTTTTCAGAGCGTTTTGATTTTCACGTCACTCAAATGTGCTAACTTATAACATCTAACGTCATATCATGCACAAGAAAAAGAAAGAATCCAGTTTTTTTATGCCAAAGAAGAAAGATAATGCCGCAACTATTTACAACTTAAAACTATAGGCTATAAGCTATAAGTTACATACACTTAGCCTAAACAATTAAAATCGTCTTATAGGCTACCTATGTTGGCCAAAACACATGGTGTGTACACCTTTAACTGGCACTCGACTTTGGTCAGTGCCAATTTAATTAACTGAAAATTAAAGCTGAAACTGAAAAATAATTTGTGAAATTTCAAGTCACTAAAGCAAAAAAAGACCAATTCATTTAAAACGGAGATATGGCAAAAATATCTAGAAAGTACCGATTATTTAGATCTTTCCAATTTGGCGACAGGCGCAGAGGGGGGAGAATCGTGCATTTTAAACACCTATTTACCATCATGGACAACATAAAGGCCTACAAAATTAATAACTAGGTAGGCCCTACCGGACCGTTTGTAAGTTAACACCCCTTTTTTTGTCTCTACTATACTGCCATAATTTTTGTTAGGTCTACAATGCCCAAGAAGAAGACTCCTGCAAATGCATTCTACTTCTTCATGCTTGACAGAAAAGCTGCATATGAAAAGAATGGGGAAAGGTTCCCTAATGGTCTGAAAGATGTGTCAGAAGTCGCAGGGCCAGAGTGGGCGGTAAGTAACTTATTCTTCTTTTCTGAAGTTAAAACAGTGAATTAGCCATAGGATTAACTTCTATAAACAGTTAAATAATAAGTTAAACTTCTCTTGGAATGTTTAAAGTAAAAATATTTTCCTTTTTTTAAATATGTTAAATTACATCACACTCCTAAGTCAATAGACAATAGACCAAGCTTTAGTCGTTAATTAATTCACAAGAATTACAATAGATATTGTCAATCTAAACAATAGAAACATTATTTATAAACAACTATAAAATTTAAATCTTTGTTTACAAATTGTAAATTGAAGAAATCACTTAATTTGTACATAGGATTGGCTTTACACAAAGAGAGCAGTTTTTTTGAAAATTATTTTAAGGGCAATGCACGAAAATCTACTGGAAACATGTTAAATATTTTGATCCCCAAGTGGGTATGATAGTTTTGAGATCTTGACAGTCTTACTCTACTTACATCAATTAAATTTCTATTCCTTGTTTAGTGGCTATGGACATTTCCTAGCAAAACATGTTTGTCAGTGAATGTGTCACATACTTTTCACTGTAATTTAATTGAAAATCTTACACTTATAGGTTACAATCCTTGTAAAATTCTCCTTAGGGGCCTAGTTCAAATCCAAATGTTAAGCCTTTCAGACACCCATTCTCTCATCAACCTCTCCTAACATGAACAGTTCCACCATGCTGTAGCTTTTGTAGGGGTACGTTACTGGCTAAATGTTAGGTTTTTATATATTTAGTTCCTTATTTCATAGAAACCTTGACAATGTACACCTGTCTGTGTACCGGTATTATGTTGTATAACTTTAACAGATGTCATGTGCAATAAAGAATTGTCATTTGTCACATCTTGTAAAAATCCAATCTGAGAAATTTAAATTCACTTATCATGAAGGTTTGCTGCAGCAGGGGCATTTACACAATGGATAGTGGATCCTACCAAGTTTAAATTTGGGAAAATAAAACAAAAATAATTTTGATAGCAAAATAAAACTGTTTCATTAATCTTGGTCTAAAGAATCTTGAGTCGTAGTGTTCTCTCAATTGAATTGAAAGCGACTTATGTAGAGCTGAAATGCTATGTAAAACATTAAGTTTAGACATTTTGGCTTTTTCAGGTCTTGCCTGCATCACAAAAGAAAAAATATGAGGAAATGGCTAAAAAAGAAAAGGAGCGGCAAAAAGGGGACACCGCCCGCAAATACACCAATCTTCACAATTCCTTTGACTATCTGCAAAAGACACAACAAGAACTCGAAGAACAAAAGCGACAGATCAACGAAAATATTGAGAAGACAGTACGTTCTATTTGCAGCACGAGAAGTAAGTTTTGAATTTGATTCATAGCATAGAGGATCCAAATAAACATGTTTGCAGACAAGCTGTGGCGAACCAAAGGGTTGGGTCATAAACCGGGTACTAAATTGATAGATATGATGGTTATGTGTGTTTTAGTTGATATAGATTTAAGAATGTCTGAAGTGGATACACAACTTTTTAAAATGAACAAAGATATATTTAACTAAACTAATTAAAATAATGTCTGAAGTTGAAAGAAAATGTTGAACACTCAACTATCAGGTGAACGTAATGATGGATACATACCTTGACGAGTTACTAGACTGGGGGTGGGCATTCGATAACTAGCAGGGGAGTATGGACAGACAAACGACAAACATTATGAGAGACAACATGAAAATCCTGTAGATATTCACAAAAGTATTAAAGTAAAATATGTATCATTCATCCCTAATTTAATATCCTTTATGTATTATGAAACTGTCCTTCCACACTGTGAAACTGTGTGGAAAATAATACTTCCTTGATGATGAGTTGAGGAGTTTTTGATCACTTTTTTGAGATATCAGGGATAGCAAACCAATACCTCTCTGAGTACTAACAATTAAATATTTTTTTATTTTATTTTGTTAAGAAGTTGGCTGCCTGTTTTAACCTAGCATTTGCCTGTCTATATGGGCTTCAAAGTTCCGTTTACTGGTGCGTCAGCAGACCTGTACTGCGCTCGACTAAGTTCACACTCACACTCAATGGGACTTAGCAAGCCCATTAGCAACAAGGAATTTTCTTTGTACTAGCTTTTTTAGGGTCTAATGACTACTGCCACTTTGTTATGTCACTAAATTGTATGAACACTTTCTACGGTATTTGCACAATCAAAATCAATTTTTCCCATAAAATGTTTCAAGAAGACTGCAAAAATGCAATTAAGTAGTCGTACTTAATATTAACCAGGTCAGAAATATAATTTATCCGGATAACTTTCGAATCATCAGATTTTCTCGCATTAACACCATTCTTAAACCAAACATATTTATAAACTAGTTAATTTCCTTTCTTCTTGGTCTTCATGTGTAGGTTTCCAAAATAGGGAGATAAATTTTCACTTACATAGATATGCTGGTTACTGAGTCCTGTCACCCTGGAGTTGGTTACAACTTTTTTCTCTCCGCCAACATCTGGTCCCTCTTCTTCCGCCGTGCCAGCTGGACGATGATAGTTGTGGGCCTGTTGTAGTTGTGGGCGCGGCTTCTATGTCCTCCTTCTCCAAGTCTACCCCTAACTCTTTTGCAACGTTGACAACAATTTGTTCAATAACTTCTTCCTCCATTTCCTGCGTCCACACTGTTCCAAGTGATGAAGCTGTGAGCTCAGTTCTACAATCACTTTATCTTTTTTTCATGGTTTCTTTAAGTGCAGTGATCTCTTTTTTCAACTCTGGTAGACATTGCAATTTGACTAAAAATTCTCCGTACTTTTCACGTATAAAATTTTGACTTGCCTCAATTTCTTCATTATCTTTTTTTAGTTTCTGAAATTCTTCGTTAAATGAAGTCAGAACACTCTTCTTTTCAGATACCTACCGTTACTTACATCTTCTATGACAAATTTAAGTTTGTCTTTCCAGTTTCTCGGTCATCTTTTTCTTTCATGGATTCCTTCATATCTCTTCCCTTACATTTTGGACATTTCCATTGTGATTTATTAGTAGGCCTATTTAAAAAAAGGTTTGTCCAATTCCAATGCATAAGTAGTGATAATTAATCTTGCAGTCTTCATCAGAACACATTATTAAATCACTAACCTCTAAATAGATTCCTTGCATTTAGTATTACAAATATGACTAAAACCCCTTTGAAATTGTGATCCCTTTGAAACATTTACTAATTCCATTCATTTCGTTCAAAGTCTACACACTTAAATTAACCTTTACATATTTGATTGTTGCGGATTCAATTATGTAAGAGTTGACTGATTTGTGTGAAATTTGATACTTATCAAAAATTAGGGATTCATAGATGAACCATAATATCACATTGTTTACTTTGAACATTATTTATTATATTAAAGAAAACTAATTATAGCTAATGCGCTCTCTTAGTCCTGTTGAATAGGAATATAGTCACTGCATATTACTGTATTTCTTATGTTTTTTGACGTTGTCTATAGCAATGTAATGTTGACAAATGACAATAAATGGATTCTGATTCTGATTCTGATAGTCAAGTGGAAGAATCAACTAATTTTGGATTACACATCATCTCTATGATTTGAACGTAACAATGTGTTAGTTAGAAATGAAGATTGGTAATATGGTTACAATGTTTTTTTGCAGAGGTTCCCACGTTCAAGTTTTACTTCATACACATTAACTATTTCTGCATCTCCGACGGGCAAGTGTACCATCCTGCAGAGATAGCTGTATCCGAGTTTTGTCTGGCTGAGGGTGTCACCAACATCTATCATACCATCATTGGACAAAGTAAGTTTAGAAGTAACTTACAGTAGTTTTAAGAGTCCTTGGAGGCTAGTGGCCATCTTAGGTAGTTTCAAACAGCTGCTGAAGAACAGCTGTTTGAAATTATCCTAGATATGACCACTAGCCAATTATCATGCAAAAATAGTTTTTCAAAAACCAACGTGATTATAATTTTAATATCTACTAAGAATAAGAATGCTTTTTTGCCGTTACACTGGTTTACATGCATGGCACGGTCAAGGAAATGTCTTACAACTAAGGTTTAACTAAACATCATTTATGAAGTCTATTTTTCTATACGGACACAGGTTTAACCCTTCCCGGACAGGCGAAATCATGACATACAACGGGAAAAAATTAGAGGAAAAAATAAAAATAAATTTTTCATTTTTGTATATTGTTACTAGCTGTACCCTCGGGCTTTGCCCCGTTTAACTTCATAAGTATTCGCATGGCTCAATCACGTCCTGGTTGAAGTTCGTTCGCTACGCTCACTCACCTTTAGGTTGGAGCTCGTTCGCTGCGCTCACTTGCCTTCAGGTTAGCTCGTTCACTACGCTAACTCGCCTCCAGGTTGAAGTTCGTTCGCTACGCTCACTCACCTTTTGGTTGCAAATTAGCTGTTGTCATAAATAAAAAAAAAATGATAGTGCTGCACCCTGTTGGTAATCCTTGTAACTTTAATGCTATTGAACATCATAGAATAGAACTAACTTGTTTAATTGAAACAGCTGTTAAGATTCATTAATTCCTTTTAAATATGAAAAATCATAAGGTTAACATGGGAAACTCCAGAGCCACTGGGGCGGAGCCCGAGAGTCCGATCAGAATAAAAACTACTTAGTTTTCCTATTTAATGCCTAAAGAATCAGTGTACCAAATTTCAGCCTCCTAGGTAAATGGGAAGTGGGAGAATTAGTGATGAGTGAGTCAGTGAGGGCTTTGCCTTTTATATATTTAGATACAAGTACAAGGCTATTAAAAAGAAAAAGAGGTTGCCTCAGTCGCGCGTATGACGTCACCCGCCGACCCTGACGGTGCTGCTTTTAACTCACACAGCTGCCACCTGTCAAATTCTTTGTTATTGTTGTTTGTTTTTCATTTATTTATTTGTAAACAGATTCACCATTCTTACTAGGGAAATAAGTTATTTCTGAGTGGCAACTTCAAACGTTTTTGTGCTTGTTTAGTACGATTAAGTAACCATTTTCTTTCTAGTTTTATTTATTCTGCGTTATATTATTTCATTGTTTAAGTTTATATTTTCAGTCCGGTTTTATATTTGTTGTTTTTTATTATTCCGCATATGCAAAAATAATTTGCGGAGTAGTAATATGTAGAGTGAAGGTGAATGCGGCGATCAGATCAGCGGATAACGTCACACTTCCGCCCGCTAACTTACTTTTACATGCTTTTACTTAATCGTTTACTAATCGCACGAAACTTACACAAAAACAAACAACAATAACAAAGAATTTGACAGGTGGCAGCTGTGTGAGTTAAAAGCAGCACCGTCCGGGTCGGCGGGTGACGTCATACGCACGACTGAGGCAACCTCTTTTTCTTTTTAATAGCCTTGATACAAGTATACATAAAGAAACACAGTGGAACACATCATACTGTCAAAATAATTTGTTATATCATTTCCTCGGATGAGTAGAAATGCAGCGGATATATCCGCCACCCGCCTTTGAAGATATGACCATGACAACATTAGGCAATACAATTTATTTATTGTTTACGTATTGTTCTTTATTTAACAAAGAACAATATGTAACAATAAACAGAGACAACGTAATGTTGAGCGCAAAACGTCAAGGGGGGGAGTGTAGGAGCGGTGGTAGGTGCGTGGGGGGGGGGAATGAGGCGCATGAGAGGGGTTAGCGCGGTAGAGAGGGGGGAGTGCGGGGGAGAGCGCAGTCATGGAGCGGATATAACCGCTTCTCGTCCGGAGCATCAAAAACCATATAATCCGTCACCCGTCCTTTATCACCAAAGACTTATGCGAATATATCCGTCACCCGTCAGGGAAGGGTTAATGGGTAGTTTTTAAGTATTTTAAATTTAGATCAGAATTACTACCTCCCCATACAATTGTTCCAATTGTTACAATGGGACCGGCTACGTTCCAAGCAGTGCTGCTATCTGTGGGTGGTTAGCGAACTACGTCGACTCTCGTAAAGCAGGACATCCCTGCACGTTTATTGCTATTCGTCAGACCAAAATTGGAAAGCCAATCACACACGGCAATCGGGTTTGCTCGACGCTGAGGGCTGCGCCGCACTGGGGTTACGCCCGCTATTTGACGTGCCGCAGCGAACGTGTTTAAGTTAGATTCTATAAAAACACCTAGGTAAAAATTTTATACAATTTTTATTAGGGATGGACGAGATTGAATTTTTAGTTCGAGACGAGACGAGACGAGATTTTTTATTTCTCATAAAATTTCGAGACGAGATCGAGACGGGATTTGCCTTCTCATACACAACGGGAAATGCACGTTCAAAATTTTTACCTGATTTTGTAACATTGTTAGATGACTGTTTAAATACAAAAATAATGATAATAGGCAAGAATATTTACAATCTTTTATTAAAAAACATCAGCATAATATTTTTTTATTAATCACACCCAATTATTAAAAATGCCTACGATTAGGAAACATAGTGATATCAGTTAGGATAGAGTTCAAATTATCCTAAAATAAAATAAATCATAAAATAAAAGCAATATTAATTTTTATAAAATAGTTACTTGTTTTGACTTTTTCTTTTTATAGTAATAAAACATTCCTCACACTGCTTACACTTAACAAAACTTCTCAAATGTTATTAAAGTAATATTATTAAAATAATTAAAGTAATACATTTAAGGAATTAATTAAATAAGAACGCCTTCGCAAAGGAAACACAACTACAACACGCTCCTGTATTGCGGTTATTGCATTGACTTTCTGCAGGCGTTTTAAATTTTTTTTTTTTTTTTTTATTCTCCTCTTGATAAAAATCTCGGCCAAAAAGAAATCTCGTCTCATGTAACGAGATTTAAAATTTCCCGAAATTTCGAGACTTGACCATCCCTAATTTTTATTTTATTAAAACTAATAGGTACATAAATCTTGGGTTTTTCTATAGCCTATTTAAAACAATTTATTGGCACTGTTCAGTACTACTGTTAAAAATTACGTTAAATTATTATGTTAAATTATTTATTAATTAAGTTCACGTGATTTATATATATATATATATATATAAATTTGAACTAACCGGTGTTTTCGGCCTCTGGGTATATCATCAAAATGAAAAAGTAAATCGATCCCGGGCCTAGGTCTTAGAAATTTGCTAAAAACAGCCCGTTACCCCACACTGAATTAGACCCATTACTTAAATGTTTGTAAAAGTTGATAAATTACTCTACTTTAAACATGTATTCAAGTATCGAGTAAAAAGAAGAAATTACTTAGAAGTCTACTTGAAATTGTGTAAAAATTTAAGTAATTACTTAAGACCCAAGTATTTGTATAAAGTCGAGTAGTCTACTACTTGAGTTATTGCTGAGCAGCCTACATGTCCAGTAATTTACACTAGGCACTCCAGTATTATTTGTAAGTATCTATTTATTGAGTCGTTACATCACCTTGATGTATTCAATATACACCAGCTATTTTACCACCGCTGATCTGGAGAGTGAGCTAGTATAGTGGTAGAGTGTGGGACTTCTAACGCTCCCTTGGGTTCAAATCCCACCAATCACCAATGTATTTTATCTGTGATAATGCTGGAACCTCTTGGCCTAGCCTAAAGTAATGTGAAATCAATTCTGAGCTAGAATCTGGTGTAAACCCCCCCAAAAAGCCCTACTGATTGTTCGTACTTGTTGCAGAGCAGATACCAATGGGCTACCGACTGGACGCAATGACTCGCTCAGACGAAGTACATCATATCCCCTTAGAAGGGGAAGAGGGGGAAAAGAGCATCTATGTAGTTTGGGACAACGTGAAAGCGGTTTTGGAGGTGAGTTTAGAGTTAACCGTATTCTGCTGTTCTTTATCTTTAGTCTTTGACTATTGATATCAATTACTATCAGTATTTGATCGAACTATTCACCCCATCCCCGTGTTAAAGTTGTCACCAGTTTTTTTTTTTTCAAATCAAAATAGACCTAGTTAAAGTGAGCTACCGACATATTGTGCTAAATGTAAATTACTGATTTGTGTCACCATTGATACTGAAGTAGACATGTCATCCATACGGATCACTTGTTGTACAATTTTTATTAAAAAAGAATGTAGGCTAGTTTTGTGAGCTGGTCACAGAATGCACGAAAGTCTAAAATACTATTACCTTATTCCTTTTGCTTACATAGTAAATGTGTCATAATTGTGTGTATGGCTGATAATAAGCTGTTCCATCAGTATGACTTGGTAAACAAGTTTGTGCGTTAGAGGGAAATTAGTAATTTACACCAGCACAATCTCAACTGGTGGCTCACATCAACTACAAGGAGTTTGATTAACAAAGCTGGTGATAACTTAAACATTGGGATAGAATGACAAGTTTTATCATTAGTCAAAGCTGTAGCATATGTGGACTTTTTAACCTAGTCAAACTGATTGGATGACTTATTGTAAGCTATTGCACTGTTTATGTCATGTATTCCAAGCCCCGAGTCAGGGTTCAAGTCTATTCAGAGGAATAATTATTTTTAAGTCTGAATGTATTTCTTGTTTATACATATTTATGATGAATATATCGATTTTGATTTGAAAAAAGTAGGTTAAACACTCGGAAAATCACGATTCAATTTATTAATTTAATACAAACACAATGACAAAGGGCATTATAACATTTAGCTGATTTTTTTTCTACAGTTTTTTTTTTGCTCCTGTAATTATGTAAAAATGTTACAAGCCAAATTTGTTAGGCCTACTGTTTAAGAAGTAGGAAATATATTTTTGTTCAGTTAACAGTTCACACTGACTCAAGACCAAGATGAAGATGGAAAAGACAATTAGTATTAAAAGAAACGCTGCGGACAAGCCTTTTTTTAAGGCTTATGCAGTTTGGTAATGTAAATTCATTGTATATGTGCTGTACTAAGTAATAAATAAATAAATAAAAATAAAATAAATAGCTAAAAAAGCCTCATAAAAGGCTTGTCCGTAGCATTTCTTCATTTAACTTTAATGCATCATGTTGAGTCAGTCATTTGATCTTAGATCATGCCAAGCCATTAACATTTGATAATGTCAACCATTGACTTCTTAGTCATATTTTAAGCCTGATTAAGTGAAAGGGGTTTGATGCACTCAGGGTAGTTTATGAGATTTTTGGATTTTGTGACATATGCATGGATCTTACGCTGCCTCTTGAGTTGAGGTTCTTTAACCATCTCAACAGGGAAACGGAAACAATGATCAATTAGATAGTGATTGCATCGTCTTGATTTGTCTATCTCTCTCTAGACCGTTTCTAAATGATTACTTTATAACTATAACTGTAACCAGGTTTCTCTTTACTGTGCTTATTTATTGGTATAAATGTGTAATTTTGTATTCTTCAGTAATTGCTGAACATTTTTTAGACAAACTTCAATTTAATGAGCATATCTCTGTGTCTAACTGTTATGTTGTTTACAGAGAGGCAGAAGTGCTCATGGCGGGTCTTATCCGCCCATGTATACCATGCCAGACAACGTGAGCCTGAATACGAGCATCTCTTGTGTTACCAACGTAGTTCGAATGATGGCTGAAGGTGATTTCTATCATATAAATTAATAGCTTAAAATCCTTAATGTCGTATAGCATTAGATTTTTTCACCTGTGCTAGAGTCAAATGATCCCGTGTAGATGTGGCGATTGCGGTTCTTTGGACTAGTGAGTATATCGTTCCCTATGTTTGATAAAAAAATTATTTTTTAAGTTGTGTAGGCAGCACATGAATCAGTCGTAGTTAAATTAAATTACCAGAGACAAAATAAATTACCAGATTCTGTTTGTTGTAGCGAGTGGAGACAATCCTGATGACTTCCAGGTGTTTCCCCTCGAGAAGTTATTTTACGAGCTGAAGTACGGGTGTGCGACTGTCGCTGGGGCCGCCAAGGACATCAGGAATTACTACCCTAGTGTTCCATTTGCCTGTTCTCGTCTGGAAAATGATACTTTCAACTACACTGAGGAAATTGCATGTGCAGTAAGTATTGCATTTATTTCGGGTCTATTATTGCAGAGTTAGAGGTGTGCCAATCTGAGATTTTTTATTGAGACGAGCTTTTCATTTATAAGTAACTACCACAGAGCAAAATTTTTTATATGATATAAAATCATTAGGCCTACTTATATGTGTTATAAAAATAAAATAATCTTTTTATTATATCCATATAAGCCTACAGGATGAAAATGGTTTATATTACCTGTCCGTCAGTGATCCTATTGTTGTCGTCTTATGCGACCGGTTTCAGGATTAAAATCCCATCATCAGGCTGATAAAAATGTCATGTCACTCAAGTTGAGGTCGTCGGTAAACATAAAAACACACACATACAACACGAAACGCGAAAATACGGAATAACATTGCTAGCTACTGGCCAGTACAGGACACTACGACGCGGCACGGGTAGTTGCGTGGTCATGACTGAGGTGTCCTTGCTCCTCTCCCGTTATCTATGGAATGCCGGTGGTATTGTTGTCCTATTCTAATCGCTTCGTCATAGATAATGTTGGACTTGAAAGAGGTCTGTTCATTTAAGATGTGTTGTGGCTCATTCTTGATGGATTTGTAGATCTCGAATTCCTCTAAACAATCTAAAAACCGTCCTTTTTTAGGGTAACTATGTAAAATGTGTAGGTTATTGTCAAGGCTGGAATAATTATGGTTACTGTCTGCGAGGTGTAGGTAAACAGCTAAACTCGTTCGGAAAATCGTTCCATATGTCAAAATAGAAGGATTCAAGAAAACAATTTTTCCCAATAAACACTTTGTTAAACATATAGCCTCCGATTTTCCCAGCTGTTCTTAATGAAACTTGGTATGTATTTGAAGGTAAAAGAAACCTATGTTTAGAAAAAAATAAATTGGTACAATTAAAATTAAAAATAGCGGCTGGGCTGTTAACATTTTTATAACTTAAATTATGAAAAATGGCCTAAGTTAGGTCAAGAGCACTTTTATTTTGCATTTAAAACTTCCTATTAAACGACGTCAAGTTCAAATACCCCCACCGCAGCAAACCTGCAGACAAAGCGAATTTCCATTTGCCTGATTGGATTTTCAATTGAATCTATTTTTATTTATAATATTTAGGTTTAACAAGTACCTCCAGGTTTGCTGCTACAGGGATGGACAATAAAGTGTGTGTTTTATTAAAATATCTCTAGAGACCTTAGTAGTACAAATATTTACTAAATTACTACTTAAAAAATTTATTCTTTAAAGCAAAAAATAAACAAAATTTTGTTTACATAAATGTTTACTTAACTTGCAAATTATGTTAATACCATTATGTTAATTATGTTGGTGCCAGCCATTATTTATTTTACATTTCTTATATTGTTTATTTACAATGTTTGATGTCAGAAAATCTCTGATGCGGTGATAGGCTTTTCCCAGCAAGGGACCTTTTATTGCTCTCACAAATCACTCTGTATCGTATTCCACCTTATAAAGTTCAGGAAGCTCATTGTAGAATTTGACTCTTATTTTACCCTAACTATCTTTTAACTGAGGATCTATCTTTCACTATAAACTAATAATCTAACTAATAATCTCTTTCACTATAACTATCTTTCACTTTTGCTGAGTTACTGCTACGAAGCAAGTATAATGTAGTCTGAAATTTTTTACGTAGAAATTGCAGGCAATGCTACTTCATTTCTAAACATTTGTTTCCAGTTTCACATTGAGATAGAACAAGTAGTGAACTGTTCGAAGAGCTTCGTCCAGAGATGGGCCTACATCATCTGTGACCAGTGTTGTGCTTACCTTGACATATCAGTGGTACCAGGTAAACACGTACCTTCCAACTCTGCCGTGGAAAGTCTGGACAAGTTTAAGGAGAGGCAGCGAGTGGTAAGATCACCAACAATATCAATCTTAGGATAAAAAGAAACCTAATGGAATTTTTGAACGCAGGGTGTCCAGCATAGATCTTGAAACAGAGAAAAGGGATTGTTTGTTAATTTTGAAAACCAGGCAAAAATCCACTAGTTTGAGTGTCAAGTAAATAATGTTGTGATCAGGATTTTTCTATTCCATGGAAAGTTACCGTGATCTTAACAGATGTTGCTATAATCACAGTAAATCATCACAGATAATTGCTGTGATGGCAAAGAGGTGATCACAGAAGTTACCATAGTTAAAGAAATTCATTAGAGTTGGTATGATCCTCATAGAGACTAGGTCTGCTCCAATTCAATTTACAAATTAATAATCACACAAGATGATTGCAGATATTGCGAAAAAGTGGGTAATAATGTGGGTGTTGCCATGATCTTTGGAGAAGAATGCTAATGTTGACACAATCGTAGGAAATTATCTCAGTTTTTTGTGTTATTAGGACGTTCCTATGACTGGAGAAGATCCTTTTCTGTATTGTTTTGTTCTTAGTCAGTCTTCTTGACACCCTCTTAATTAATTGTTCTTACTTTATCATTTCAGAGAGCGGCTGAAGAGGCTGCTGCAGCCGCTGTCAAAGCTGCCCAGAAACCTTTTACGATGGTTTCTGGAAACGTAAGTGTAGTTTACACTAATTAACTTTTAGATACAAAATGTACTAAATAAAAAACAAGCTTTAACTAATAAATAAGAGGCTTTTTTACCTCGGTTTTGTCTAGTGATTCCTTTCCTCCTCTAAGGGTAGATGATGATTTCATTGATTATGTTGACTTCTTTGGATCCTAGTGAAGAATATCACTCTCATATTAAGGTCATCAAAACATTAAACAATTGCACACAAACATTTAGACTAGACCTAAACATAAAAAAAAGGAATTGCTTGGCAAAATAAAGGTTAAATAACCTCTGTTTGTATTTTAAAGTGATTCGAGACCATTTAAAAACCTAAAAGGCTTTAACATCTCAAACTAAAGGTTCTACTTGATATGAAGGCATATCAAGATTTGTATTTAAAAATTCAATGGCAATTCAAACTCATTGTGGTTTTATCACCTGCATGACCTTTTTTACACGAGTAGTTGTGTACCCCTGTTTTTTTTTCTTCCGGAATGTATTTTTAAGCATCAGTAACAAAATAGTATCTTTTATATTTTTCACAAAATGCAATTGTTGCAGACCGTGCAATCTTTTGCCCCAGTTGAAGTGGAACAACAACCCGTGGCTAAACCAACAGTGCAGCGTAAGTAAAATGTCTTATCGTTAGATTCTCCACCTCTAGTATTAAATTTAACTATTGATTTTCTATTTTTCATGGACTTGCTATATTTCTAATTTTTTCCTAAATCAGTTTTCCTCTTGTAAAAACTCATAAAAAATCTTGATAGATCATTTATTAAATATTGATATCATTTGTCTCTTGTAATATTAATTTTAAAAAAATCAGCATTACTGCTAGACGTTCTATTAGCTGGACAGAATAACATTGTTATGTGACAAAGTGATTTTATCAATAAGCCCCAGGACTCTAATTTTCTTTGGTACGTTAGCTGAACTCTAATCATTTAAAAACTTCTAAATCAACCACTTGACTCTCCCTCGAAATATATCCTTGATTTGTGATTTTCAGCTTCGCTCCAAAGACCCATGACCCGTCCGTCCAGTCAAAACTTCAACCTTGACAGTGACTTTCCAGTTGGCCTAGTTTCTCGTGGTAAGTTTGAACTATTTTGAATCCAAAACAACATGTGTCTGCATCTCCGTTGTTTTTATGGAGGTTAAGACTCAGTCTTTGAAATAGAAAGCGTTCTTTGAAGGTTCCTCTTTTTAAGTGTTTATTTTTATTTACTTATTGCCAACAATACTTATTTCAGGCATACAGTAGAACCAGGCGATAGATCAACCGTATTCAATGTATATGTCTGAAATTAGGGGTGCTTTGAGGGGGTTTTAATTTCCTAGTTCTGTTTGGTTATCATTGAGTAATGCTTACTACTTAATTACTGTTATTTAGTCTAATATCACTACTGTTGTCAGGCCGAGGCAGAGCTCCTGGAGTTTCAAGAGGTGCTCCGCCAGGAGGTAGCCAAAGTAAGTCTTTTACCAATTTTATCGTAATATTCAAAAGTTTGAACTTAATATTAATAAATAATATTTGAAAATTAAAATAGTTCATGAACTTCAAACTAAATCGTTAAAGACAACAAAATACAGGGTTTCCAAAAATGAGTGCTGCTCTTTTAAGATTAAAAGCTGATTGTACTAGTTACATTAAAACTATTTATTTCATTAGGAATCTCTAAAAACAGTTTTATTCTGGCACACTTGGTACCTGTATTTTAATGTCTAATCTGTAGGCTATCTCTGCCTATACTATAAACTAAGGACACGGTAATCTCTTGTAACTAGAGATGAGTTGATACTCGATACCACAGATTCTTGGACATATCGGTATTGAGAATCAATCGTCATGAGCGGATACTAATACCCGACAGTGGAAAAGAAAATGTTTATCTTGAGATTCGATACACAAAAATGACAGTAGAATCTTTTGGCAAAAAGTTGCCCTAATATAAGAATAATGAAAGGTAGGTAAGCGCACACATCACAGTTAGCGCAAAGAAATCTGACTGCTAAAAAAATTATTCAAAGCGAAAGTAAAAGTAAATATATCGCAAATTAGGGGATAAAATTACCACAATGTTTTCAAGTCCTTGGAGCCTAGCCGTTTCAACTAATAAAACAATAACAAAAGTAAAAAGAAAATATATAACCTCTTAGTGTCCTACTGTAGATATTTCAATTACAATCTTTTTGGTGTCTGAAAAAATATTTTGAGATGGTAAATAACTCTTTTGCAGCTGTTTGAAAATAATCCAAGATGGCCGCCAGCCTTCAAGGACTCTTGCACAATTGATAAGATAGGCTATAGGCTAACTGTGATTTTCACCTTCCTCGGGACTGGTTCAGCCCCTATGTTTTTTTGTACCTGACAATCCACAAAATTATCAATTCAAACCCTGCAAGTCCCAAATTATTTGTCCCAATTGTTAATACCTTGCTCAATGAAAATTAATTATGTTTTTTTTTTACCAAACACCCTGAATGGAACTACAGAGTCCTACTAGGAAGCAATCCTCTAGAGTTATTGTCGAAACTTAGGATAGGTTTGTAAATAAACATAGTTAAAAAAATTAGTTTTACTTTTTTAATGCATTCCTTAAGCTCTTGTTGTTTTCCCATTGACTTCTTACAGTTATCATATGTATGTCTCAGGTGCTCCAATGAGTTTCGCGGCTGCTACGTGGGGAAAGAAATAAGACTGAATCTACTTCATTCAATTCATATGGACATTCTGATTTTACTGCTTTCATTCAGCCTTGCTTGACAAAGAGGAGATCACTGCATTGAAATTGAGTTACTGTTTGTCCAAGTTAACGTTAATTGAGTTAACAGTACCACTTGTTTTTTACTGTTAGGTTATAAATTGTTTGTTCTTTTTTTCTCTGATCGCTCAGTATGGAATACCATAGAGAGCTGATAAAACAAATTATCCTGGTATGTAGGGTAATTTACTAAAATACGTTATTTGGGCAATTTGCCATTGCATTTTTTAAAATTAACCAAATGTTCTGTTCTTATGTATAACTTATGTCTAAAAGGGTTGAGTGGGTTTAACCCTCTTAGTGCAACTGGGCTTTACCCAAACACAAACCCACACTGAAAAGTAATAGGTTACATTAAGTGGTTTGAACCAATATTGAAAGTTCAGGGGAAAAGTCAATGTTCCATATTTTTTATATGTTTAAGAGATCTTGATTTTACCATTATGTTTCTTATTGACATTATGTGTATCCTACAAACACTAAATAACCCTTCAAACCTCTCAATTTACTACTTAAAGAACCATTAAAATATAACAATCTCTCCATGAAACACAATAGTATGAACCTCAAACGAAACTAATTTTTTAGTCTCAGTGTAGATGAAAAAATAAACCAAGAATAAGTTAAACAAGTAGTGACAGGGAAAGAGGGAAACAAACCGGTGATCGATAATTAGATACTTTCAGACTGAAGTCACACATTAACCAGCCAACGTTGGTATTACTGCATACTTCAAAATATAAAGTTTTTGAAGGCGATACTTGCATCGTCACTGCACTAAGAGGGTTAAATGATGATATATCTGTGATGGGCTTTTTTCTCTTATAGCTCAGTATGGAATCCCATATAGCATCGAGAATATACTTTTAGGATAATTTTTGGTAAGGAAAGTTGTTTGGCATCGTTGTATAGTCTCAAAGTTAAATGCCCCAAAGTTTTTATTTAGCTTAAATGTATTATTTCTTTCTTAAGAGGGTAAAGTTAAGTTGGTGTTTTTAAGTTATGTTTATGATATAACTGTGATGAGTTAAGGACATAAGGACGTTTAAAGTTGTTATCTAATTGAATACTTTTATCAACTCTAGTCCTTATTTTTGTAATTGAAGTTTTATTAAACATGTATTCTTACATTTGCTGTTGCAATTTTATTCATCAATCCACTATGCCGGGTGTCCAAAAAAGAACTGAAACATTTTAAAGGTGAATACTGATACCAAATAATGGACTATGTATAATGTTTTATATATGTATTTAAAGCTTAAATTCTGAAGTTTTATTAAAAACTTAGAATAACTCAATATGAGCACCATTAGTGACCCGGCATAAATTTAAGTGAAATTATACATCTCAGGGTTTGGTCAGTATTTCAGGGGATATAAACGGTGCTATTCAATGTGACTTGTTATAGGAGTATGTTTTCCCATCGTTGGGTGACATTAAGATGGGAAATGGCCCTGACTATTTTCAACAGGTTGGAGTACCACCACACTACAGTTTACGTGTGTGAGAAGCGCTTAATACTCGTTTCGACGATCGGTGGATTGGCGGGGAAGGGCCCATCTAATGGCCTCCCAGGAGTCCAGATATGACTTCTCTGGACTTTTTCCTTTGGGGGGTGGTAAAGAATTATGTCTACTCAGTGCAGATATGGGATCTGAATCTCCTCTGACTGAAAATAGTTGCATGTGTTGTTGCAACATCCCCTAAAGTACTGACCAATACCTGGGAAGTGGTAAAATTTCGCTCAGATTCATACCGGGCCACTAATGGTGCTCATATCAAGTTCAATCAAACAATACCGCCTATCTGATAAATTTTACTAAAATAAGTTTTTGGTATCGTTGGAAACGTACTGGCTTCAGCTGCAGAACTGTGACGTAGTTAACGTTGAATTCCGAAAGACAGCGCTGCCATCTTGATTTGGACAACTCCGCACATCTGAAAACACCTGGAAATGCCTACTGCATCAGTCCTCACCCAGACTGCATGGTAGAGGTGTTGCTGAGGTAACTACTTGTCTTTCATACTGATTAATAGTTATTTTAAAGTAATTACTGTCTGTTTTATAAATAAATTGAAAATAATTCAAATACTTTAATAATTAATGTTCTTTTTTTGGGTACAGAATTATAAACAAGTGAAATATTGTCTGTTAAATTTTACTATGCAGATGGGCGGTTCTGCGTCAAATCTGGATCTGTAGATGTGCGGTTTTGCCACTTATTTTAAGATGCCAATATTAGTTAACAAAACGTTTGAAGTAAATACAATTTTAGTTTTATGGGTTTATTGCATTAGGCCTGTGTGTAAACTTGTATGCCTATGTATTAAAGTGTTAAAATGCTTACCTTTTTCTTGTATGATAACTAATTAATACTATTTACTCTGATTTTTAGGCCATTAACATGGAGTCAGACTCTTTAGAATCAGATGCGGAGGGAAAAACCTTATCAGAAATCGAAATATTCCAAGCAATCAAACGAAGTTCAAACAACGATGTAACATTCTCAGATAAACGAGGGTCGTCAAAAATCCCGAAGATAGACTAGACTGATAAGGAGAAAACCAGCAATAAAGAAGAAATAACTGATTCATCTGATTTGTGTCAATTAAATGCAGCATCAATTCAATATGATCATGATTATATTGCATGTAAGAACCCATTTTTCTCACGAGAATATATTTGTTTAGTTAAAATTATTATTTGCTCAATAACCTTTCAATAAATACTCATCTTCCCAACTTTCACAGTTTAAAAATCAAAGACATTCAAACATACCAATAATTAACTTTTATTTGCAAAAAAACTATTGGTCACATTTAATATTAAAGATAAGTTAACTTAGATAAAAAACTGAACAGGTTTAATGTTTTAATCAGCCTAAGTTGGAGTATTTAAATAGTGATTAATGTTTTAAACAATCATTTATGTGTCACTAATTTTTAATAATGTATTAAAGAGGGTAAAAATGCAATGTGCCTCAAATACAGGTGAATACAGTTAGTTGTATTTTTTCTTTAGATAGGAGCTCTTTACTCCTTGATGAAAGCATGGAAATACCTGACGAGCTTATAGATATACCGTAATGAAATTGGATTTTGTTTTTGAAAATAATATGGAAGACTTCATGATAACACCAGATTTTCAAATTTATGAAGAAGAGATCGTCAAAAAGACCCGGCTATCAACAATGCTTTAGAAAGACCTGACCACAATGAATGTTGACGCATTACTATTCTCTATGAATTATGTAAATAAAGAAATATTGTCTATTGTAATATACAGGCAGTTTTTCACATTTATGAAGAAGAAATCGTGAATAATAACGACCCGGCTACCAATGATGCTTCAGAAAGACCTGACCACAGTGAAGATGAAGATAATATCCAGATAGACTTGCACGAAGAAACTGTTCAGATGCCGCGTTGTAAAAGGAAAAAGAACAATCAGCAAAATTGGGGAAAAAAAACAAAAAACTTAAAATGTTTGGTAAGGAATATCTGGGGTACAGTAAATTTCATGACACCCCAAGAGTTAGCAGAAAAATGGGACCATCTTGTAATTTGAATATTTGTATGAAGTTAAAAGTACGATTTTGTCACACAATTAGTGAAGAAAATAGAAACAAGATTTTCGTGAATTACTGGGACAAGATGAATTGGGACCAGAGGAAAGTTTATATAATAAATATGGTTAACAAATGTCCAGTTAAGAGGCGGACCACTGTGCAGGAAAAAAAACCAGTAAAGCACCAGTTTCATTTGGTTTTAGTCGTTCATTTGGCAGTGTTCATCTCATCTAAGTAACTCACAATTTTATCGGTACACTGAGTTCAGTTGTTGATTTTGTTGTGAAAGTGTTACGCCTTAACAATAAGCAAAATGTAACTAATTTGGAGCGACATAGTCTAGTTCAGACAATCTAAGACTTAATGAAAAGACTGATTAGTATTTTTATTTTTATTTCAATAAAAATAGGTTGGACATTCGATAAGTGGTGTAAAATATCGAGAACATTTCACCAGTTTTTTTCCTTTCACCGTTCATAGTGAAAGCACATTTTTGTATACTTTATACCTTATACATTTTACTTAATAATTTATAATTATACTTTTACGTTTAATAAAGTAATTTTTGTTTCCTTTTTAGATAATAATTATTGTTCTTGCTATACCGCCTATCTACAGCAGTGTTCATATGGTTAAACTACAAAACCGTTTATCTGCAAAAATCTATACCGCCTATCTACGTCAATGACATTTTAAGAGATTAATACCGCCTACCTGAAGTAAAATAATTTTCAAACAATAATAATGTTATTAACAAGAGAGAGAGAGAGAGAAAAATTCTTTATTTACAACAATTATTTTGCAGCATTACATAAAGAAAATAAAAAAATATCACATGGGTCACAGTGACCTGTGCGTGATAGAGTCCTTATTTGGCTGCTTAAAATCAAAAGAAAAGTCCATCACACTTCACATAATAAAATAAAAAAAATCGAACAATAACTTAGTTAAATAAGCGTAACAATTAATTTACTATACAATTATAATTATAAAAAACTGTGAAACCTAAAAACCATATACAAATGTAACTCAATAGTAGTGAGCTCATTGCTTGCATTAAATCCAATGCACAACTTTTTCCCTTCAATTCCCAATTTAACTGAGTTTAACAATGTTTTATTATATTATAAATTCTGTATATCAAATGAAAATAAAAATATCTTTTGTATATATATTGCGTTACTAAATAACCCAGTTATAATAAATAATTCAGTTTTTTGTTTGTCCTGTAAACTTTATGAAATGTCAGATAGGTGTTATTGTTTCTTCAACGACGAATTATAAAAGATTGAACATAGTCTCTTATTTGGTATCAGTATTTGCATTTAAAATGTTTCCGTTTTTTTTTTTTTTTCGGACACCCAGTATTTTTATTTAAATTAAAAACAACCAAAATAATATGAGTGAAAGTGAAACAACTTCAAGGGGGTTGGTCAAATTTTGACTGGTGCGATTTATAATTGTGCTCCTCAAGATGCATGTTCAGGCAATCGTGTTTGTTGCATTTTATTTTAACTAATTTAAATTGTTTGGTTAACAGTTTAAGAAACATCCAAGGAAAAGTATTTAAAACTGTGACACTAGGCAGTATAATATTATTAGGTAGGTAATATGTTGGTTAGTCTATGGTAATATTATTCCTTTTTGAAACAATACAGTTAAATCCACTGTGAATACCTAAACCTTTTTATAAATAAATCATTTCCCAGTTGCTTTCTTGTGTAAATGTGATATAAAATGCCGGCAAGTTTTTTTTTTAACACATAATTACAAGTAACGTGTTACACTGCTACCCCCTCCGCAGCAAACCTGCAGATTAAGCGGATTTCAATTTGCCTGTTTAGATGTCTACAGAAATATTTCCATAAACATATTTATTCCCTATTTAAATAACATTAGATTTAATGAGTACATTACCTAGTTTTGCTATGGGGAAGGTAGAAAGTGTTTTTTTCACCAAATGTTAACAGTATAGGACTAAACAAATAAAAATATGCAACAATTGCTCAACATACATCCATAATCAAGCACACTACAACAATTTTTCTTCATAGAATAACACAGGATCTTAAATTTACTGTTACTGGGAGTTTCTCCGTAACGTTTAATTTTTAACAACGCTTCAAGATACAAAATTATTTGCTTATTTAGGCCGGGGCCACACTCATCTTATCTCGCTGAATTTTTCCACGGGCGTTACCCGTGGGATTGAGAGATACATTGCGGTGTATGGGGCAGGTCACACTAGAGTAAAAACGTCCGTGAACGCGTTTGACAAACGGAATTGCACGTGTATACTCTACTAACATTCCACGGGCGTTGCACGTAAAACTAGTCGCGGGGCATTGCGGCTTATGGGAGTGAACACACTCATCTTATCTCGCTGATTTTTTTCCACGGACGTTTCTAGTTTTAACCTGACTGATCAACTCTACAGTGAGTGTGGAGGGGGGGAGGCGGAACACGGACACGGACGATTTTTATTGCCAGTGTGGCATGCTTTATCAGTCTCACTGGTTTTGCCGAAAAACCCATCTCGTAAGACGAGTGTGGCCACGGTCAAACTGTTCCACGTGCGTCGCACGTGAAAACGGAAAGAACAGTCTCACAGGTTAAAAATTACAAGTGTGGCCCCGGCCTTAAGCTCTACAAGAGTGCTGATATAGAAAATTGGCCATTCTCATGTTTTTAAAAATTTGGAAAAATCATTAATTTTTGAAAATTTCAGAACCCTATCCTGCTGGTTTGCAAACTCATTCAAGTTAATCTATTTGGTTTGAAAGTGGTTTGCCAAATTCAAACCAAATTTCATCAACATCGGACGAAAATTACTTGAGTTATCAAGTTACTACCCCGACCAAACACAATCAGTAACAACTTTTAGCATTATCTGTCCCCTCTTGTATGATTTTTTTTTATAATATTACTCAATGCTAATATTATAAAACAAGGGGTTGCTGGAAGTCAAATGTTCGGTAGGTCAAATAATTTATACTTGTGCCAATAGGTCAAAAACTACAATGTTTGCAGTGTCTATAGGTTAAAATCCTATTGAGTCAAATACTAAAGTCAGTGCTGAAAACGTAGTCTCTGTTAAAACCAATGACTCATTGGGATATTGACTTTTTTCGTAGGTACAAGAATAAATTATTTGACCTTCTGGCACAGTTGACTTTCTGCAATACATCTCACTAGTGAACTGTCACTAACATGAACTAGACACAAAACACGAGCTTCAAAATGAACAATGGGATGTGAAATAACTTCTGTTGGTTATTCTAAAGGTCCAATTCCTATGGTGCGTCTGATACGACTCTAGTTGTGCGTCTAGAGCCGTACGGCTCGAAATGCTTGTCTTAATGCCTATGCCGCGACCTCTAAGACTAGTCACTAGTGCTATTGTACTCTTGACCGTCATAGAATAAGTACTGTTGGCAGGGAATATATTACTTGGAGAAGAGGAGGAAAAGGAAATATTAATGTGCATGGTAAAAAAAAAACAATGAACAACCATACATTGTTCATGGTACGGCGAAAAAAGGAATTTAGAGTATTCTTATTCAGAAACATCTTCTTCAAGTACTGGGGGTGCTTGGAGTTGAAAACGTATGAGTGGTGACAAACCATTTCCATCAACTTTGAATCATCTATGAAGGCACACAACCTCAAACTCCGTATATTACAACTATAAATTTGTTCCAGTCACGCGGCTAGAGTCGTAACAGTTACAGGATAGGAATTGGACCTTAAGTCCAATTTGGAATATGACTAGTAAATCATTAAATGATGCATGAAAAATTAAATTAAACCAGTTTCATGTCAGATGCTGTACTTTGTTATTTGATTTTAACTCCAGATGATAAACAAAGGTAAATAAACTATTTGATTTGGTTAAGAAGTTTTAAATTTTGTGGAGTAAACAAATAACACTAAGATACTATAGAATTGTCTTCGTCTGATCCGTGAGGATGAGAAAACCGTCAGAAATTAAGCTCCAGATAAACAGACGGGAATACAGTAATAACCAAAAATAGTTGATTGGTTTTAAAGCTTTATTTATGAATAACTTGTAAGAAATGACTCGTAAAATATACTTAAGAGGAAATATCGGTTGTTAACAACATTGTAATGAAAGGTTAAGCATATTTTAGCCTTAAAATTAGTTACCGGTATAAAAATAAGTCAAATTTGACCAAACATACTAATCTAATAAATTCTTAAGTAATGCATTAGTACCAACATTTGTAACATACGTATCCAATGTGGTTTGGACTGCAAATTGTATTCCTGAAGTATGAATATTTTGTTCAACAATTGAATTATACTAAAATAAGTCTAAAATGAAAGAAACTCTATATACCCTGAATTAAATTACAATTCAATGAACACTCAGTATTGAAAGTAGCCTACTAAATACAATTTTAATTAGTAAAGTAACTTTAAATTTTATATTGACTTACAAAATGACAGTATTTTTCCTTGACTTCCTTTTCAAGTGGTTTATGTGTCATAGCTGTTGGGATAAGGTAATTAATTATATCAAGTCAAATAGAATATTTTTACGTAGGCCACACTAAAAATATTTAACAATAAGGGAATATGAATATATACAGATTGTCTTACGAGTGAAGAACATATCGATGGAAGCTGGTACAGATATGGAGAAAATTGCCAACACATTAAAAACTTTTTCCCTCTAAAGAGATGTACTTGACAATATTTTTAAAAGCTGACAAAATAAAAACGTATGTAACAAAGTTAAATGTATGACAACAGAAACTTAACTACGCCTAGTTTGAGCAGCCTTAGTAAGAAATTTTCAGAAAATGTTTTATTGTTTTACTAGACAGATTCTTTTACATTGCTTCTTGCTCATGAGTGTACTAGAGGTTTAAAAGTGAACGTATTGCCTGTAGTTTTTCCACTCGCAAGATAATCTATTGAGTTAGTCTCTAAATGGGTGGTTTCCATAGACTTTGTAATACTTATCGACTAAACAAATTCAAAATAAGGGTGAAAGTGACTAAGTGAAATGTCAACTAGAAAACTAAACAACAAAAGGTAACATAAACATTCTTTTGTATAAAAACTAACATAAAAACTTAGCACAATCTAATAGTAGAAGATATTTCTCAGTTCTTGCAGTAATTGCAAATATCACAAGTATGAAAAAAACTGATTCCTTAAGAACCACGATAACAATTGCCTGAAACAGGAAGGCACTAATTTTATTTACAGATGTAACAAAAATTGATGTTCTTTACAAAAATATTTTGGTCAAAAGAATCTTTGACAGTAGTTCCTATACAAGAAACAAATTTACTATTAGCCACTGTAGACTGTACAACATGACTGAAAGTTTATTGAAGCCTACCCTGTTGGCTTGCAGACTGGTTTTGATCTAGGTTGTGTTCTGGGTTGATATTGATCGGCTGCATGGTGGGATTCACGTGAGGTACTGCTTGGAAGTATTGGCTTGCGGAGAGCTGAGGAGGAATGACTCCCCAAGTAGGTTGAATTTGAGGTTGAGGCACATTTTGAACTCCATGAATTTGTTCTTCAACCTGCTTCAACTGTTGAAGCATAGTTTGATACGTCATCAGTAGTTCCTCTTTAGTTTTCCCGCCCTGCATCCTACCTAGTAAAACTTGTTGCTGCAGCAGCTCTTCTTGTTTAGGTGCCACAGTTTGCACTTGATTCGGTAGAAACATGTGAGGCAGGTTTTGTACTTGAGCATTCTGCAATAGCAACTGTGCCTGAGCCAGAGCTAAAGCTTGAGGCGATAACACTTGTGAAGGTTGATCAGCCTTGAAAACAGTATCTGCAGGTTTCATGGCAGTTGAAGGGTTTTGTTGAATGCTAGCAGCATCATATGGCGTATTCTGCGCTTGAGCCAGCGAAAATGCATGAGCTTGGGATAAAATTTGAGCTTGAGATTGTTCATTCAGAACACTTTCTGGAGGTTTATTTAGAACATTAGGTTGTAGTTGCTGAAGACGAGCATCATATAAATTCTGCGCTTGAGACATAGCCAAAGCATGAGCTGATAACATTTCAGCTTGAGAAGGTTGTTCTTTCAAAACACTATCAGGTTTATTCAGAACAGTTGAAGGTTGTTGAAGGCGAGCGTCATATGGCATATTCTGGGCTTGCAAGGAAAGCGCATGAGCCTGTGATAACATCTGGGCTTGTGATTGTTCCTCTACAGGTTTATCTAAGGACTGTGGCTGCATACGTGCATCAAATGGCATCATCTGAGCCATATAACTCTGCATCATCTGCTGTGGCAGCAGCAAGTGTCCTGGGTACGGGTTCAAGGCTGATGGTAGAGAGTACTGAGGCAATAGACCCTGGGCAAGCATAGATGAATAATCCTTGTTTGATGATAAATTTTGATTCAAAAGCATCGCCTCAATTTGGCGTTTGTAATTTTCCTGGCTATCAAACAGATTTGGGAAAGGAATATTCCCCATTTGGAGTATTTGAACACCAGGTCTAATTTCTTTATCTAATGACCCATAAGGCGTAAGAAGCGGTGATAATGAACTGGATACAGATGAAATCGAATCTCGGCCATTTGAAATTTGAATAGGCATAACATTGGATGAGCCATTTGTGGAGTGATGTTCCATATTTGTTTGGGGGAAATAATACTGCGTAGTTTGTGAAGAGAGAGGCGGGGAAGATGAAAGATTGAACAGGTCAGTAGTCTCAGGTGGTATGGCATTAGGTGACACATTCGTCTGCACATTTGAGGGAGGTTCGTGTCTAATGAAACTGTGCAGCAAAATATCAAATTCAGAGGGTTCACTTCGGTCAGTAATCTTTTTTTCTGTGCTTGATATGACTTTATCTTTACGTTGATCACAAATATTCTCTGATCCTCCTAAAGAAAGACCTTTGAAATTTGATGCAAGATCATTTGTTGCTGTAGGAACCTCTTCCTTGGCTCTTTGTGAATTGTTAGGCTTACTAAATTTAGGAGCTTCTGGCTTATTGTCTTCAATGTCAAAATAATTAAGCTCTGATTGCTTTGATTCTTGGTAGTCATAAGAAGTAGGTTTTGAATAGTGGTCGACATCCGAATGCTTTGACTCTTGTTGGTAGTAGCTAGAAGCAGGTTTTGCATAGGGGTCACCATCCGATTGCTTGGATTTTTGTTGGTAGTTGTTGGAAGCAGGTTTCGCATAGGGATCGCCATATGATTGCTTAGATTCTTTTTGGTAGTCCTTAGAAGCAGGTTTTACATAGGGATCACCATATGCTTGCTTAGATTCTTGTTGGTAGTCATTAGAAGCAGGTTTTCCATAGGTGTCACCATTTGATTGCTTGAATTTTTGTTGGTAGTTGTTGGAAGCAGGTTTTACATAGGGATCGCCATACGATTGGTTAGATTCTTGTTGGTAGTCCTTAGAAGAAGGTTTTGCATAGGTGTCACCATCTGATTGCTTGGATTTTTGTTGGTAGTTGTTGGAAGCAGGTTTTGCATAGGGATCGCCATATGATTGCTTGGATTCTTGTTGGTAGTTGTTAGCAGAGGGTTTTTCATAGGAATCACCATGATCATCTTCCCACTCTTTCTCAGGGCGCATCGTATGGCTGGTGTCTTGTAGTTCAAGATTGCTCATCCTTAACCTATAAACAACAAACTCAACTGTGAACATGTTATATTCTTGAACTTTTTTGCTGATCGGTGAAAATAAATATTTTTAACTAAAAAAATAAATCTGTGATTTAGATGTAACCCCTCAAGGCTCATTGACTCATTTCCAAATCTGATATCAAATTGAAGGGAATTTGACATCCAACCAACATTTTTGACATCATACACAAATCAACACAACACTAATGCACAGTTATAACACTAGGCTGTCCACACCAAAACAGATCAATTCTTCAACTACTAACCGCTATCCATTTAATGACATTGGCATTGGAGTTGGGATATATCAGCCAATAGTTGCTGATCTATGGTAACCATTCTTTTCCATAGGAAATCATATTAATCTTTTTCCTTACCTCTTAAAATGCTCCACTCCAAGGGCCAATGTCACTAAAGATTGACAGCAACTATCTGCTGTGTCATTCTGATTCAAATTTAAGTGCATTTCTACATGTTTATTGTGTTGTGTAGATATGAATAAGATGACAAAGCTGATTGTTAGAAGTCAGCTTTATTTAAATTGATGTTGGATTTGATAATGGGTCCTTAGGCTTAAAACAAGTTATTTATTTATTTAAGGAGGCTGGAGGCAAACAAGGTACAGTAATCCTTTAACAAAATTGCAGATAAAAATGCTCTAAAAAGTTAGGGATACGGTGAATTTTTCTGATTGGCTCATCAGCCAGTATTTTCAAGGCTTTGCTCTGTACTAACTGTAATTTATTTTTACTATATCTTACCGTTCCATTCTACGTCTATTGTCTTCGTCGTGGCTCCTTAAGCTTTCCTCAAGCACTCGCTTCATCAAAAGCTCTTCATCATCTTCCTCTTTTTGGAAGAGTGCACTTCCTTTTTTCTTTGTCCAGACACTCACTGTAAACAGATGAAAGATATACTTCCAGTGAAAATAAATTTGTACACACACAATGCTTTTGTGTTGTATGAACCTCATGGTGCATAACCTCAATGTTGCCCGGTCTAAACCATGATGCCCACTGACATGGTAAGAGTAACAGATGGTGACCACTAGACCAAAAATAAACTACAGAACCAGATTACTATGCAAGTGAAACTGCTTAATTTGTTTTATCCCAACCTGTGCCTTTTGTGATTGTATAGATTACCGAGAATACCATATTTTATAGCATCGTCTGAACTGTTAGAATGAGTGAAATAAGGCTGATCATGTCTATTGTCAGCAAGCATCTTGAAATAATAGTAATAATCTGGAGAACTACTGAACAACAAAATAGGGAGTAAAAACAACCCTTAGTTATAAAAACCTGTTGAAACGTACTGGATGAGGAATAGGACACAAAAATTATATATCAACCTGTGACCAAAAAGTTTAGGGGCGTTATTACAATTTCTGAGAAATATGAACAAAGTACAAAGAAAAATATGGTACAAAGAAGTATATTTCCCATCTCTATTTCTACTAGCAAGAACTGTTAAGTGGTTTACAATCTTTTATTCTATGTATACACACCCTGTGTTGACATACCTGGTGGGGCAGGCATTGCTACCTCAGCAGGAGTAAATCCTGGAGGAACCGTTGGAGACTTGGGCACTTTTGGCTTTCGCATCTTCTTCGTCTTCTGAACACCAGCACCTCTGTGAATCAACATCCCATTATAATTTGGTTACTAATAGAGGTGTGCGAGTGCTCGAGTATTTGAATACTTGGCTCGACTAAAGTATTTCAAGAAAACTCAAAGAGTTGAGGTTTTTAATGAGTTGGATGGAATATATTTGTACAGAATGACGGAATTAAAGCACAATCTTTACTCTAGCAAGTTATTTTATAAATCTTAATGTATACGGGCCTTAGAACATACTAAGATATGGTATATAAAACTGTGCTTCGTTCGGAAAACTCAAGGACCAAGACTTGAATGAAAACGAGGGCAGCTTTTTAGATCTAACGAATAAATTACAAAGGCACAATTTGTGCCAAGCTAGCTGCAATCCTTCCAATTTTATAGAAAGCAATCACTATACAGTAGAACCCCTCATATCCGGCCTTGGTTTTACCGGTCCTCTGTTTATCCGGCCCCTTCCAAGAAGCCAATATCAAAATGTTTTTCTCACAGCTTACAAACGTTTAGATGTAGCACTAGTCTTTGTGACCGCTCAAGTCATAAAATAAATTGTTCTCTTTACTTATCTGTTTGTATACACATTTATTTGCCGAGTCACTATACTCAGTTGAGCTAGAAGGCCTAACCTCTGATCAGTTGGTTGATTATTTCCAAATTGGGGTTAGTACAGTACAATACATTGATTTTTGTATTTCACAAAATGGATAAGAATGTTGAGTAGAAATGCATGTACCATTTAAGTCCTAATGATCTTCAAGTACAATTTATTGTCATTTTTACCTCCATTTAATAGGGGTTGTTACCTGAAATCATAATATTTGTACATTTATTACTTAATGACTTAAACCTACAAATATTTTTTTTCTTTTTACAAACATGTTTATTTTTCTAAAAATGATCCCAGAACAGAATTAAATGATACTTTTGATTGCATATATTGATTACCTATTATTATTAGGTATGAATTGTCATTTTTATAGTAGGTTGGTTTATCCGGCCAAATCGTTATCCGGCCAGGGGCTTGGTCCCATGGTGGCCGGATATGAGGGGTTCTACTGTATCATCAAATAAAAAGTTTCTGAAATTATTAAAAAAACTAAATATTACACATAATATTTAAAATATTTAAATACCTGCTATTAGGCAATCCAATCTGGTTGCAAACTAGTTTTGGCTCCTATATGTCGAGCCATCATCAAGGAAGTTTTCTTTCTCAATATGCAACAATATTGGATAGCCTAGTAGCAGGTATTTAATCTTTTAAATTAATATTTAGCAATCCAGAGGCTAACATCTATAATTAACTTACACATAATAGTTTTCTTCGTCCTCTTCGCTTTTCTTCCTCCCAGAAGTTCGAGAACTTGGTCTGAAAAATCATGCAAGGAAATTAATCATTTTAGTCTTTGAACCATAAGTTGAACCAATTAAAATTCAACATACCAAGTGCGTTTTATTTGAGTATGCCCACAACCACCAAAGCTACCATGCTACAATATGCATTCTACAGTTCAAGATAACTTTAAGTCTCTTACACCACATGCTCAGATTATTTTTACAATGGATAGGGCCTAATTGATATGTGTATAGTAGAAGATGCCTGATTAAATTTCTAAACTATTTAATAATGAAAATTGTTTGAAATCATGGGAAACCTTTATTTATCACGACATGCATTACGAGTCATCTACAATAGCCTAAAACTACTTGACTACTTTTACTTGGAACACAGAAAACAGCAAATTATCACTTTAAAATTATTGGGGGGTGTAATTTAAAGTGCTTATTTTCAGCAATCACAAAGAAAGGCATTTTCAGTGAAAGCATTATTATAGCCAACACAATCAAATTTCAGGAAGGCTTGTCCCATGTCTGAATTCAGCACACTTTAGAAAAAAAATGACAGGATTGTAGTTACTAATGGTACTGAAATTGATTAAGTTATGCATGCAGGGATTTCAGACTTTTTAAACTAATTAGGTTAGTAAGAACGATATCTTTTGTCAAATTTCGACTTCTGTAATCTCTAGATATTAAAATATTAATATTAGGAATTGTTGCTAATTCATTGTCAGAAGATTCAAGATTCAAGATTCAAGATCTTTATTTGTCATTAAGCAATACAAGTATTACAATAGACATCGTCAAAGTTGTTTTTTTTTTTTTATAATACATACAGTTATTTCCTGTTAGAGTAGGCCTAATAGCAAGAATGCACCAAGTGAGTAGCAATCACTCTTTAAAATATAACAGTTAAACATAATTAACTCTAAAATAAATAAATTAACAATTTATTAAGGAAATTGACAGGAAAGCAGGCCCACCCTCAAACAAGTCCATAGAGACACACAACACATCACAAAACCAAAAGTAGAAATCCCCGCGGTCACCGACCACTCCCTCAACCACCGGAGACCGGAGAAATGGCAATGGCAGTTGCAATACTGGTATTGCCACTGCCATTGCCACCTCTCCAATCTCCAGCGGTTGAAAAAGCGGCCAGCGACCACGAAAATTTCCACCCCCAATCCCGCGATGTGCTATGCGTCTCCACGGACCCATTCAAAGGCAAGCCCGCCCTCCTGTCAATTTCCTTAATAATTCCTGGCAAATGCCCTATCTTTTTATAAGATAAATTAACAATTTACATGTCAATGATCAAAAATAAAATCTGTAAATATAATAACAATAAAATATTTAAATATAATAACAATTAAATAATTAAATATATTAATACTAACATTGATGTTCTAAAAACATAGGGAACTAATATCACAGGCCAGATAATCGTCTATGGAGTAAAAAACATTTTCCTTAAGCCATTGTTTTATAATAGAAACAAATTGTTTAAAGGGTACAATCCATGCCTTTTTTGGCAATTTATTGAATAGTTGTATCTTCATACACATGTGGCTGCTCTTTGTTTTTTCCAATCTTACAAAAGCTAAATCTAATTGATAGTTATTCCTAGTATAGTACTGATGAGTTTCGTTTCTAGTTGTAAAATTTTTCAAAGACTCCTTAACATCTATTAGACAACAGTAAATATATAGATTAGGCAAAGTCATTATTTGTAACTCTTTGAATATTGGTTTACAAGACTGTCTTTGTGGTATATTCTTGATTGCTCTCAGTGCCTTTTTTTGCCATCCAAGAGCAGACTGTGCACTGCAAGAGTTGCCCCATAAGGTTATACCATATTGTAGATGGGAATGAAAAAAAGCATAGTATGCAGTAATCAGCATATCTGCAGTAACACAGTGTCTTAGTTTTCTGAGAAGACAAACCACCCTGGCCAGTTTCTTACACACTTGCTCTAAGTGACTATCCCAACTTAATCTGCTGTCTAAATATATGCCTAGCAATTTCACAGATTTAATATCCTTATAAATAGAGTAGTTAAGAGTAAAAATTATATTTTCAGTTTTCTGGTTATTTACAATTAAATGATTGGATTGGAACCATTCTTGTGCAACTAGTAAAGCCTGACTCTCAATTTTTTTAAGTTCCTTTAAATCTTTATGGCTGTTTAGGAGTGTTGTATCATCTGCATAAAGAACAGAGGTACAAGGAATATTGAAAGAGAAATCATTAACTGCAATGATAAATAGTACTTAGTGGCCCAAGCACTGACCCCTGGGGTACACCATTTTCAATTTTCTTAAAGCTAGATTTGTCTTTGCCCTGGATTACCATTTGCTCTCTGTCACTTAAATAAGAAGCTAACAAATTCAACTCTTGGTCCCTTATACCATAGCTGTACAGTTTCTTAATAAGAAGCTCATGTTGCATACAGTCAAAAGCTTTTGTTAAATCAATTAGTAATGCAGATGAAAGAAGTTTATTTTCAAAGTTCATTAAAAGTTTACTGAAAATACTTTCTACTGCTTTGCATGTACTTCTACCTTGCATAAAACCAAACTGTTCATCACAAAATAGATCATTATTGATAAAATATGTATTGAGCTGTGCTTTAATGCAGGTTTCAAAGATCTTACTTAGTATGGGTACAAGAGAGATTGGCCGGTAACTGGATGGGTTTTGTTTCTCACCTTTTTTACAAATTGGCATTACCTTACAAAGTTTAAGTTTTTTAGGGTATATACCCTGATCCATCATTTTATTGAAGAGAAATGTTAATGGCTCTACTATTTCATTAATAATTTCTTTGATAACCCTATTAGAAAAACCATAATAATCTTCACTTCGTGAGGAACTTATACACACCTTATTACATCAACAGTATTGATTTTTTGCCACTTGAAAAACTCATTGCCTAAGTTTCTATTTGAGACAAAATTATTAACTAATTCTACTGCACGACTACTAGACATATCACTAACATTGCATTCATTTAATTCATTGACTACATTAACAAAATAAACATTTAAAGTATTTGAGTCTAAAACTACATCTTGGTTATTTTTTCTGCAATTTGATTCAGCTTTTATCAAACTCCATGCTGCCTTACATTTGTTTGAAGAATTTTCAATATACCTATCATTTGCAATTTTCTTAAAATAACTAATCCTTTTTTTATACATTTTCTTTAATTTCAAGTAATCTAGTTTATGGACTCCTTCGTTTGTTGTACCCATAGAACTTCTATACCTGTCATAAAAAGTTGTGACATATATCTTAAACCTCTGTAACTCTGGTGTATACCACTTCAACTTGGGCTTGCCATGATTGTTTATTTTAACTTCCTTAAACCTACAGCTTTCATTAAAAGAATTTGTCAATAATAAATTAAAATGGTTAAACGCTTCATCTACATTGTTAAACTGTGCTAATTGCATCCAATTAATTTGTGACAGTTCATTCCTTAAGTTAGAGAGTTCTCTAGGAGTTGTATCCCTTATTGTTTTAGTTGTGATATTATTGGACTTTGTCCTGTTGACTTTCATTTCATTAAATTTTGCAAACACTCCTGCATGATCTGATAAGTGTGGTTCAATTACAGAACAATTTACTTTATTTCTATCAATGTTGGTTATAATATTATCTAAACACTTATCACCCCTAGTTGGATTTTCATTTAACCAGTAAATGTTATGGGATCGTAATACATTTTGGAAGAAATCTCTTTCTTTTGATTTAATTAATATATTAATATTAAAATCTGCAGTTATAATATATCTTGAACCAACATATTTTGTATTTAAGTGTAATAAAAAAGTGTCTAGTATTTTAAGAAACTGGTTGATATTTGAATCTGGAGTTCTGTACAAGGTGGATATAATGACAATTCCTGGCAAATTAATTGCAGTTACCTCAAAAATATTGTCCTGGTAAAACTGTGTTACATCTAACGCTTGAGCCTCAATGCCTCTCTTATAATATATAGCACTTCCACCACCTCTTGTAAGAGAATTATTTCTACCACAAATACTACCTAAGTTATACCCGTAAGGAATGTAAAAAGCAAATTCTTCTTCGAACATCCAATGTTCATTAATAGTTAAAATATCACAGTTAAGATTTGTCAAAAAGGCATCAATTAAGTTTAACTTATTTCTAATAGATTGAACATTACAATGATAAATACTAAGACATTCATTAGATAGACCTAGGGTACGTTGCCTTGCGTTGGTGGAGAGACGTTTCCCGATTGAGACTCAGTGCCTGGTGGGGGAGGTTGTTCATCGTGTGTAGGCCTACTCACTGGACGGTTGTACTCCTTAGCAGCAACCGCCTCAGCTATCCTATCCGCAAGCCATTTCTTTCCCTTGTTGTTGAGATGGAGACCTTGGCGTGTTTGCAAATGTCTTTCCGCTTTGCTAGCTTCCACAAAAAATACATTGTTGTGTTTTTGACAAAGTTCTTTGAGTCGTAGGTTGGTTTTTCGTAATTCATTATTCACGCATGACCAATTTGGCAAGTCATATCTCATTGGCAAATCCACAATGCACACAGTTTGTTGTTTCCACTTGTCCAAGAAAGTCGATATACCCTCAACACATTCATCTGCTTCATTTCTAGCCACATCGTTTGTACCACAAATGATCACTAGAGCATCTTCTTTTCTAAGATTTTCACCCTCAATATTATTTGTATTTAAAATTTGATTTGTTCGACCACCTGGTCTAATAAATCCTAGTGTTTCATACAGCTTTTGGGATTTTTTTAAATGGTTTTTAGAAGCTTGGTTATAACTGTTGGTTCAGTAACCCTTGGTGGGCAGACAGGTTACAGTTAGGATGGCACAAAATTAAAAAATCTAAAAAGATTTACTATAACATCATCCAAAATAACACATTACTTACTCTAAATAAACACAACAAAAGACTTTTTAGTGGATGAATATTATTTTGTCGTATTTACAAATACAAAGTGGTGAGGAAGAGAAGAGGAAGATCGGAGAGAATGGATGTCTTTAGAAACTGTCTTGCTTGCACAGGAAAGAAAAACTATAAACTTGTTTGCTTATTTTTTCATTATTTTGCTTTTAGTTGTCAAATGTGTAACGTTTATTGAAAGCAAAGCTTTAACTTTTGCCATTCTTAAAATTCGTTCAGATAGTGGTTCCTACAGAAAACCACACATACAGTGAAAAAAAGGCACTTGACTTAATCTTCCAGACATAACAAACCCAAACAATACAAGAGGCCTGGGTCCAAGCACTTCTTTTGTTTATTTACAGCCATAAATATGCTTTTATCTACAAGGGGACGTGAATCAACCCACAATTGTAAATATTCTTACAAAAAAAATGCAATCTTGAGGCTGGATTCAATTGTCTCCGGATTTTATTATTTAAGGATTTTATCCTTTTTAGTCAATAAACTTGCATTACTACAATCAACTATAGCTATATATCTTCTTCCTAAGAAATGAGTAGGGTCTATTTATATATTGAGCCCCTTATCATTTTTAAACTAACCTTACAAATGTTACACAGCACATTTTTACCGTCTTTCTAAGTGAAATAATAGTACCACAGGGGAACTTTACAGGCATCCTTCTTATATACAGTATATAAATTTTTATCAGTTGTTAAAGAATTAAAGAAATACACACAAAAACACAAGCAACCGCACTTGCATGTAAAAATCACTCTTCGCTCTACACTGAACTTGGTGAGTTGAGCAGCCGTAAACTTTGACTACTAGAGAACAACTAAAATGGAAATATTGCTCAGTACAATGAACCTACATAGGCTAGAAAATATGGGAAGAATTAGGTGCAGCAGTACATTTTTTTAATATGTAAAAATTCTTGCCACAAAGACTGATTGTACGAAATAATAAAGGTTATATTCCTCTGTTTGTCTTCAGTCTTAAAAAATAGTCTGGGGATGACTAGTTTTGGGTCAAAGACACATTATCAAATCCACGTCAAATTGAGTAGTCTATAACCCGACAGAAGCCATCAAAACGTATGATTATAGCTTTATGTGTTGACCCAAAACTAGTCATCCATAGACTATTTTTTAAGACTTAAGACGGACAGAAGTATGTAAACATTATATTATTTAGTAAATTTTTTCACAGTAATAAAACAATTTAAAATTCAAATACAAATCAACTGTTTAGCCAAGTCACAAAGATAGAATGATAAATAATTTACATATAGTTTTTTAAATGTGCTATTTATAATGCAATTGGTGTAACAGCAAATTTTATCTAGCTTCACAATATAATTAGGCAAATAATGCTTCAATGTACGATTTTAACGTTATAATTGTCAAATAAAATTTGTTCATCGTGTTTCATATCAAGTAGGCCTAAAATTCCTCAAGTTTTCTAAAGTCCTATTATAGTCCATGGACCGAAAGTATTAATCCTGAGATTTTGAGGAGTCAAAAAACTGGCCGAGATCATGAAATTATGACCCTAACCTACAGATTATGAAAGACTCAATCACAATCATTAATTTCTATATCAGAATGAATCTTAATGGCAATAAGTCTAGTTTAGCATATATTGCAAGAGACGTAAAACTCACAGCATCGCATCTGATTAAATTGCAATTTATAAACACATTTTGTGTTGAATTTCTTTCTCAAAGAAGAATCCAATTTCACAATAACCAAAGGATATCCTTTATTAAAAGTTACTTTGCCAAGTAGGTCTATTTTACTAACTGTGGTAAAACAGTATAACATGGATAGACACAAATTAGGAAAAACATTTTACAAAGGGATGTGCAATCACGTACAATTCCTCTGTATGCACAGAACACAGTCGCTTATCCTTAGCTTGCCCTTACTCCATCTCGCTGTAATATCCTCTGCTATCTGCGAATTCTTTTAACTTGGCAATTGTGGGCTCCTTGGCGTGTACTTGCATCTAATACTAAATTTATCCATAAAACCTCTGTCCTTTTGGTTAAATATTAGTGTCAATTCTCGATACCACGGCTGATACTCGGACATTGGTATCGGTATTGAGAATACCGATAACCAACACATCTGCGAAAATCTCGTGAACATGGGAGAAGATGATGTCAACATGGCCGTGTGAAATGAAGAATTTTGATCGGGGGAGACGACAATAATATCCACACGACCAAGGGAAAAATGTTACTTACTAAGATACAAAGCAAAAACTCCACATAAATGTAGAAGCGATACCGGACAATAAAAAAAAAACTGCCTTAAAATATTGAAATCACATTTAACTTCAATACGACTTTCTTAGACTACCGTACTATGAAATTGGCTGACTGAGAAAAACAACATTTTCAGAATTTGTTATGTTGTTACTAGAAACAAAGATTTTTGAATTGCGTTTATTTAGCAATGTTAATTCATTTTTTTATGGTTAAAATATATCCCACGGTCGTGTTGACACCATCATTGATTTTACATGTATATTGAGATTTGATAAATAAACGACCCAAATTCCGGCATATTTTCTACAGTTTTTACATGGTAATTTAATTATTGTATTGATTGATGTTTGCTATACAATGTATAATAAATTGTCAAAGAGCAATAAAGACATTTTATAATTATCATCGTCTCCCATGGTCAGTAAAATTGTTATTGTTTTTCGCGATTAAGGCAAAATGATAAATATATCCCGCAGCCGTGTACACACCATCATTGTTTCACGTGGTCACGGAAACATCGTCATCGTTTTTTGCAATCGCGGCAAAATGTTAAATATATCCCTTAGTTGTGTTGACACAATCATCGTCGCCCGGGGTCAAGGAGAATCACGCTGTAAAAGCAGTGAAACCGTAAATTTTCCAATCACAAAATCGTTGCAGACAGTAGTAAAAGCTCAACATGACTTGGCCTATTTTCTTTAGAAGACTCTGAATTTTGGTAAAAATCCAATTATCCGATTGGGGTCTGGTCCCAATTGATTCGGATAGTTGGAGTTTTACTGTATGTGTTTATGTATTTATTTTCATCTACTTTCGTCAAGGTAAGCCTGCTACCTATTCACCCCCAAATCCTTAATAATGGTGGCCTGAAGCTACCTTTCCCACACAAAATTACTGATTTTTTGTTGGTTTAATTGAAACACAACGTTTTAAATTGATCGCCAGTAGCCGAGAAAGTTGCGTGGAACCGTAAGTTGTCTTCAGAGCTGAAGGTGTGTACACTGTAGGTATTGCCAGTCTATGTTATTCCTTGCATACTGGGCCTACCTTGTAAATTGATAGTCATCCTCAATTTTCCGTCTCCACTCCATTTGTCGGAGTCTTTCCAAAGCCATCTCCTTTGATCTTCCGCTGAACAAAATCAAAGTAAAACAATCATAATTGCTTTAAGTGCATTGAACTATAACATGACCTATACCAAAAATGACCAAGAGCAGGAAAACATTATGCCTGCAGTACACTATCACCGAATGTAGGCGAACTAAGTCGAACACGATAGTGTGCTTGTGAACATTTGGGGTAGTTCGCATCGCCAACATTCGTGTTCGGGTGGGCTCGCTTTTTTGGCGGTCTCCCGTCGCGAATTAAAGGAGACGAATGCTGAGCGCAGACGGGCACGAACATAGCCAGTACACACTCGCTGTCATTCGTAGTCACGGACACTCTCTTTATACAGTAGGCCTATTTACTGCAGTGGTTGTTTAGTTAGAGTTACTTTTAGTTTTTGTTATTTAATTATTTTCTACTAGATCTTATATACGGTAGATAAATTAATTGTACAAAGTACGGAGTGTTCTAATGAGGAAACGCTATTATTTTTGGAACTGTACCATAGTGAGTCTGTTCTGTGGCCGTGGGATAATTTAATTGAATATATATATACCTGTATAAAGTATCGCTTAATAAAACAAACATTTTAATAAATAAAGCAAACATTAATTTTAAATTACTAAGCCACAGAGAAGTAAGAAACTTAGGATACATTCAAGTGGTGTCTAACACCAAAACTGAAATTATACAATTTCCTCTATAATTATCTAGAATAGTCTTCGAAGTTAGCGTCCATGTTGCACAAAGTTTGGTGCGAATATTTTGCCGCGAATACGCAATATTGGGTTCAGCACAGTTCGGCCAAAGTTAGCCGATAGTGTACTTGGTTAGTTCGGGATGGTTCGGGCTGCGCATTCGTCAATATTCGTGGTCGCAATCTGACCCGAACATTTGGCGAAACATTCGGGCGAATGTTCAGTGATAGTGTACTGGTAGCTTTACAATCTAATGTCATTAACCAGGATTTTTAAACGCCCGCCAGACCCTACTACAGTAGTTTTCCCCAAGCCACCTCTCATTTTGCCATCTACTGCTCAGCAAGTGTTCGTGTTGGTCATGGTATTGATTAAAATTCATATTTTATAATTAAGGTAATATTGAAAAGTAAATAGTCAAATATCAAATGCAATTTCAGAACCATATTTACAACTAAATGGTTCTCTGAAGGGTTCATAACCTTCCAAAGTATAAACCTTCTCATAGTTTTACTTCATTTATAGTAGGATTTTGGGTAGGCCCTAAATTTGAAAACAATACATATGTCTACTGTCACACTCACGATTACGAACAGCTGCAAAAGATCGAGCAACGAATCGACAGTCCCAGTTCAATTTAGTTCACTGATTCTTGACCAGAAGCCACCACCTACCAGGACGAGCAGACCTTGTCAAACCGTAACCGTGTCTCTGCGACGAGAGAGGCTTGTCATACCGCCCTGAAGGGTTAATCCGGACATGAAAAATCCAGACCATCAATAATTCTGGTTTATTCATGTCTGGAAAACAATAAAATGAAAAAATGCACTATATAAGTGGCTCTTAATCGTAGCGGGCAGCAGGTGCAATCAGGCGACACGACTTAGCCCATCAGGTATAGGTACAACTGGAAATACCTATACCATTTCCACAGATCTGTTAGGAACTGAGTGAAGTAAAAATTTACTTCCTCTGTACAGTACTGTTGATTGGTCCAGGATTGGAATCAGTTGTCTTGGTCCAAGTCCACATATCTCCTGTTCCCAGCTCATCTGCCAAAACAGTTAGGTGTTCAATAGAGCACATCTGCCCACACGTCCGAATCATACAGGAATACGGACTGGACCTCCCACATGCCTTGTGCGCCAAACAAAAGATCAGGTCCCACCAGCTAAGCTTACTGCCTATTATAACTCCAAGGTACTTTGCGGCACAAACGGTTCAGCACACTTCAACCTGATTTATCCTTAACCCCCCCCCCCCTCTCCCCCCAACCAAGATGGTGCCACTTGCTTATTGGTCAGAATCACAATCTCCATTTTGCTCAGAGCAAGCAAGAGATTGTGGTATAACATTAATGATTTGAAGGAACTTTTGACTCGGATCAGTTTCAGCTGAACCAGCCAGCAGTCTGCAGATCATATCTGCGCAACCAACTAAAATAGTGTCCTCAGCCTCAGGCATTTCAGACCTTCAGAAGTCTGAGCTGAGTATGGATGCTTGAGCGGCACTATAAGTGACACTCATCGTCCTTAGGGCTTCTGTGTTGTCAGAAATGAGGTAGGTAGCGGAAACGGAAGTAATGCTGTTATGATTCACAAGAGTTATGCCAGGACTAGGAAGGTTTTCTGAAGAGCGTCATTAGTATATCAATATAAATCATATAAAACGTTTTATGCACATCAATTTTTACGAGCAGCACAACCTACGAGAATAGTGGTTGAAATCCTCAGCTCTTATCACAGCTCGCTTAAGTTCTCAATATCAGTTTGATGACTGCTTAGGATCAGTTAATGGTATACATCAATTGAAACTTTAAACAATAATAACAGTGGCATCAGCAAAAATGTTTTTATCTGTCCACTAAACAAATTTTGATTTATTATAAATTGCAGTTTCTTAATTAGTTCTCTACAAGCCTTAAATGAAGTGGTCTTGCAGGACACTGGATGAGTCTTAAACTTGGCAATATCGTCAAGCTAAATTTGAAAACAAGAAAAGATATAACCAATACGACTGAATAGACTGGACTGTATGCAAATAGGCATATTGAGTGCATATTGGCCTGGTTCCTAAAGTTAATCTTTCACTGTTTGAATAGCCTATATAATTTCTAAGACTTATTACTAAAAAATAGCCAATTTCCAATCTGTAAGGAAAACACTTACAAAGGTGACACTAGAAATTTCAAAGTTTGTTCCCCCCCATGGACAAATCTTCTGAAGAGGTCTATCCATATCAAGTGATCCAACAGGGGTTTGCTTGACCATTTTTAAAATAAATAATATTTTTATCCTAGATACCTTTATCAATTCTGGGTTCAAAAGTGATTTTAACAATTTTTTATCTATTTTGTTACTCCTACGGCGGCCACTTTTGTTTTGCGGAACACGCAAATTTTTGTTCATGTAAGGGTTTGCATTAACTTGCACAGCTCGGTAACCATGAACACTAGAGTGATGAAACAAAAAGCATTTTAATCTGGAAGAAACAGCCTAAATATTATGTTCTGTACATATTTATTGAAATGTGTATCAAAAACAGTTTTAACATTTCAACATTTCATAAGAAAACGGAAAATTTTCAACTTTTGAAGGCGTATTACCATTGGAAAGAATAAAATCTCAGACTTGATTTTTTTTTTGTGTGTAGCATCTCAGTAAAACTGTTTGTATTTCAAATATCAACCATGAGACTTAGGTAATTCCTTTAAAAGTTATCATTTTTCAAACTTTTCAAACTTTTTCAGACTTTGATGCCACAAGGATTTGTATTTGATTTTTATGATAGTGACAAACTATAGGCTACACATGCATTGAATACAAGTTACTAAAGGCAATAAAAAGCTAACATACAGCACTAACATAAAAAGCTAATTGCAGTGTTACAGTAGACATGCAAAGTATACACAGTATTAAAATAAAATAGGCCTATGTTTTAAAAACAAACAGACTAGAGCAAAGCATGAAACAGTTGCACTATGTAAATAAATGCAGTGTTTGTAAGAAGTGAATTTCAACTTAATATCAAATGTTTTATTAGGTAACCTTAACAAATTTATAGGCTAATTTAAAAACTGAGTAAATTTATTTATAAAAGACAGAATTTTGCGATTACATTTTTTTACAATTCCCTTAATAACATAGCTTAGGCTACTTATTTAGGTACCTACTTTATTTGATTATTTGATCCCCATGCACAAAATAATAAACTGCTAAACTTACTCACTGTTTTATTACTGTACTTACTTGTTACCGTACTTTGAAAAAGAAATCATGTAATCTTACCCAATAGCTGACGAGCTTCCTGCAGCTTGCTGATTAACATTCAATCTTTTATCCATTTTGAGATCTTCATTTGAAGCAGAGAATTAAAGGAAATCTCAATCTAGAAAAAATACAGTTATACAGCACCTAACATTACTGTAGGCACAAATAATTGCATCTATATAGCATGTACCTATCAAAAACCAACGGGCTTCCCGAGATTAAGACCCCTAACTTACCTCCGGATTGAGACCCCTAACTTACCTCCTCTTAAAAATTATTAACTTACCGGTAACCATTCAATCTATCAAGAATAAATATGTAGGTAGCCTACAGTAAGTTAAGAGAATAATACACACAAGTTTTATTAAGTTAGGTAGTTTCTGATCAATGGTGAAGGAACGAGGCACAAGTATTTTTAAGTTAAGTTGGTTAGTCTAAGTTACCATGCAACCATTAGTTAATAACTTAAGGGACAAAATTCTTGTTAGACATAAGTGTGCGTCAATTAACTCACGAATAAGATTCAAGATAGTTTATTTGAAGAGTAAGAAATTTAAGAGACCGGCAAAAAAAAACACCCCTTAACATAGCCTAACTTAATAAAATGGTGCTGTCCTTAAGCTAACCGAACCTCTAGAACGTTAGCAACTCCTTTTGATGACAGAAAAGGCATGTCAGGGTGGACAGACAGGCTAACTTATGTGCCAATTTGTGAATGCATTAAGTGACCCTTTGAAGGTCTTAGGGCTAGGTTAGATTAGGGTAAAGTTTAGGTTAAGTATAAAATAAACGCTGTGGCTAAACTTACTCGTATGCAACCGTACGCCGTCAATCAATGACGTCACCTGATGAATGGCGTCACGGACGGCTGTTGGCATACACATGTACATTCGATATTTTTAACTATAGGCCTATAAATTATAAAATGGTGCTGTCCTTAAGCTAACCGAATCTCTAGAACGTTAGCAACTCCTTTTGATGTCAGAAAAGGCATGTCAGGGTGGACAGACAGGCTAACTTATGTGCCAATTTGTGAATGCATTAAGTGACCCTTTGAAGGTCTTAGGGCTAGGTTAGATTAGGGTAAAGTTTAGGTTAAGTATAAAATAAACGCTGTGGCTAAACTTACTCGTATGCAACCGTACGCCGTCAATCAATGACGTCACGGACGGCTGTTGGCATACACATGTACATTTGATATTTTTATCTATAGGCCTATAAATTATAAAATGAAACTTGTTAGGCTATAACATAACCTAACTTACCAACCTTGCTGATGGTGAACATATCAAATGAAGATTTATAAATAAAAAAATAGGAGAGCTTTCAAAGTATTATAAAATTAAACTGTTATAGCCTAATCTAAGATAGCCTAACTAACCAAACTTGCTGATAAAGCAATTAATGCAATACGTTAATCGAATGAAGGTTGTTTACAAGGTATAATAAAAAAAATAACTTAGGCTAGGCCTAGTTCTTTAATCGCATTCTAAGCAAAATGGAATAGGCCCTAACAAAAAGTTTAGGTTGCCTGTGAGATTCAATCTGGTTACCTCTTGGATATCAGCCGAGTTCTCTATCCACTATACAACGAACACCGATGGCTGCACTTGTATCGTTGCAGTAATGGTGCGTCAACAGGCGTCCATGACATCATTGACGGACGGTGTAACGGCGTATGGTTGACAGACGAGTAGCCACAGGGTAAAATGAGTTGAGTTTGTTAACTTAAGTTTGTTTCTGTTAGCCTAAGCCTATCCACAGACTAGGCTATTTTTTAAAAATTAGGCTAAAACCTTAATAAAAACACTTTTAAGTAGGCCTAGGCCTACTAAGTTAACCTTAACTTTAGGCCTGCATTTCAAAGTTTAACCCTCCGAGTGTTAAGAGTCGCGTAATCGACGCACAACACACCCGCCGTGGTATTATGCGTCGCTTTTGCGACACACAAACATCGTTTACGGCGAAGGATCTGAAACTGACTGAATCAGATTGAACTGGATCGATATTGGTGTCGTTGTTTTCGGCAGATTCTAAGCTTTCTCCTGATGTCTGTTTCTAAAAGCTTTTCATTTTAGTTCCGAAAATATTGTAGCAGACAGCTGACGTGCGTATTTGTAAACTTGGTTAACCTCGTACCGATGACTGATGTGTTTTAGCCTATTACGTTTATCATTGTTTTAGTGTTAAAAATGAAAAGTAGTGATATACGTGGTGCATTATAAAAAGATTTAAGTGATTTTGAAGGGCTGGTTGATGATCCTGAAGAAGTTAAGTTAGGTAGTGATATTGATGTAAATTATCGGCCAGATTCCTAGCTATGGTTAGGCTATGCATTCTTAGCTAACGCTAAATGTATGAAATCTGTTTTTCACCCATAACTTATTTAAGTTATTTGCAAATTTACTTCCTTATATTATTATATTTTTGTAATCCTTAGGCCTATAAATTATAAAAATTTATTGAGCGCAAACATAATTTTTTTTTCATTTAGCATATTTTAAGTATAATTTTTAGAAATGTTAACCCCACAAAAATTGTTGAAAATTTTTGTTGTAATGTTTTATATAGCCTATTAGGGCCATTCTTCAGAAAAGGACAGATTACGATCACCAAGGAATAATAAATAAAAATTAAGATAATAAATACATAATTTGTTGTTAAATATGTAGGTAAACGTTTTTTTTTTTATACTTAATGTAAAGAAGAAAAAAATCTAAATGAAATTTAATGAACATTTTATGTCCACAGAAGGTGACATAGGCTATCACTTCTGTGGACAGTCACCCCTCTAGGTTTAGCTTAAGATTAGCTGATTTTACTAACAAATTTGAAATAAGAATTAGCCTATTAAACCCAATTGCTGTTGTCTATCTAGACATTGAATATTAATAATATTTTGTTTATTTTACTTTTTCTATTCTATTAAAGGTAAAAAAAAAACAAAGAAAATCGGTCACCAAAGCCTGCATCACTCCTGTGGACAGGCATATATATGTAGTTCCAAAAAATCCACCAGGAGGCAGCACTGGCCAACTTTCACTATTTTTTTACAGAGAAGAAGTAACCATCTTGAACATAGAATCAGTTTGGTTGTGTTCTGTTCAGTTATTAAGTTGTTTATATCATGTGAAACTAGAGTTTTTTTTAATTGATCGTCGAGCTAATAGGCCTATAGCCCTCCGAGTGTTATGTGTCGATTGTGTAGTGTTTTGTGTCGATTTTTCGACTCACAAACACTGTTTACACCAAAGGCTCTATGACTGACAAAATCGGATTGAACTGGATCGAGTTAGGTAAGATATCGTTCTTTTCGTTAGATTCTAAGCTTTCTAAAGGTCTGTCTCTAAGCGCTGTATGTTCTCCGAGCCGATCGTAATTGTAGCAGACAGCTGACGTGCATATTTGTAAACAGGTTAGTTAACCTCGGACCGATGACTGATGTGTTTTATTATGTTTATCATTGTTTTAGAGTTAAAAATCAAAAGTAGTGATATACGTGGTGCATTATAAGAAGATTTAAGTGATTTTGAAGGGCTGGTTGATGATCCTGAAGAAGTAGGTAGTGATATTGATGTAAATTATCAGCCAGATTCCTAGCTATGGTTAGGCTATGCATTCTTAGCTAAACGCTATGTACCGAAATCTGTTTTTTGCCCATAACTTATTTATTTGCAGATCTACTTCCTTATATGATTATATATTTGTAATCCTCATAAAGTTTAGAACAAAGTGGCTATTTTCAAATATTTATAGGCCTATAATTTATACAACTTCATTGAGCGCGAACTTATTTTTTTTTTTTTTGAAAATGTTCCAAAAAAATTTTTTTTTACCTAAAAAAATTTTTTGTAACAAATTTTCCTTATGTTTTATGTATAATATTGAAGCCCATGATTTTCCAAACAAAATGGTATATAGAACAGTATAATTAACATTGTTTTTAAGCTTCTCAGATCCGTTTTAATAAAACCTTGCAATGTGCAAAAAATAGGCAAACATTAAGGCCAAAAGGACATTATGATAAAATGTCATAACCAGTTACTAGGGACCCTCGGAGGGATAGTCACTTCTGTTACCACATTTTAAAGGTAATTATACATGTCAATTAAACCTAATACACTAATTTACAGTAGTTTATGTGTTTCTCTACAAAAATAAGAGCAAACATTAACCTATTTGCTAGACTCTATGTTAGGCACTAATGCTAAATCATCACTTCTGTGGACACTAGCAGTTACCAGGCGCGCGTTGCTGCGCTTAACAACTATTATTTTAAATGGCAATTAAACCTAATACGCTAATTTACAGTAGTTTATGTACGCTAATTTACAGTAGTTTATGTGATTCTCTAGAGCAAACATTGTTCCTAACCTATTTGCTAGACTCTATAGGCATAAAATGCTAAATCATCACTTCTGTGGACACCTAGCAGTTACCCGGCGCGCGTTGCTATGCTTAACAACTATTATTTTAAAGGCAGAGGATACGCATCCGGTAACCGGACGTGGATTAGGCGTCCGGCAGTTACTGTCATAACCTAACCTAACCAACCAAACTTGCTGATAATAAAAAAATTGAATGAAGGTTAAATTCTCTTCATAAAATAAAATTATACTTAATATTGCAAAAACAAAAGATGTACAGTTAAGAAAAAAATGGCATTCAAAGCAAAATCTTTGACAAAAAGTTAAAGTTAATGATGGGATTCGAACCAGAGGGACCTCCTGCATATTAGCCGAGCACTTCACCACGAACGCCGATGGCTGTACATCGTATCGTTGTGGTAATGGCGTTCCGGGTCCTCACAACCCGGTCGGTGACGTCACTGCCGGACGCCTAATCCACGTCCGGTCACCGGACGCGTATCCTCTGTGTATTTTAAATGGCAATTAAACCTAATACACTTATTTGCAGTAGTTTATGTGTTTCCCTACAAAAATAAGAGCAAACATTGTTCCTAACCTATTTGCTAGAATCTATGTTTGTTTTTTAACTTTATTTGTAAAATTTGTAGTTGCGATAGTCACTTCTGTGGACTTATTGTCACTTCCATGGACATGCTAGTTTTTAAATACTAAAAATCTGGGAAAGTGATTTTTATTTAGTATGACCATTGCAATGGGTAAATATTAAAAAGGGTCATAGCCTAAAATATCTAAAAAAATAAAAAATAAAATTGAAATCTGTCCTTTTCTGAAGAATGGTCCACTACATTGAAGCCCATAATTTTCCAAACAAAATGATAACTTATATATAAAACAGTATAAGGCCTACTTTAAAACTTACATTGGTTTTAAGTTTCTAAGATACATTTTAATAAAACCCTGCAATTGCGCAATAAATGGGCGGACATTAATACCATTAACTTACTATGGACACTTGGCGGGTTAAGCTTTGACTTTTAAACTTTGATCCAGGCTAGATCTAACTTAAGTTAGACTAGGCCTACTTAACTTAGGCCCTAGGTAGAAGTAGGCCTAGCCTAACTTAGGCTACAAAATTCGTACCATAGCCTAGGGCCTAGTCTTAGCTTGGAGGCCTGGTCACAGACAAATTGGGTAGCCTAGGCCTAGCCTAATTGGCATCGGTAAATTCAAGTAACTTAATCTTGATTTTCCTTGCAAACACATTTATATTTCCCAGCGTTATTTGCAAAAGGGCATTCAAGAAACGAAATCAATGAAAATATTTAGCCTAACTTAGCATAGACCTAGTTTGTTTCCAGGATAAATCAGTCTAAATAAATAGCAAACTACAAGGTGACATCTTACCATTAGTTAAAAACATCCCTTGTCCAAGTGATTTTAATTTCACTTAGGGCCCACCCAAAGCAACAAAAACAAAATTAGAACCACAACTTTGAACTTTAACAACTTAGCCACTGTACTTGTCTTGTACTATCCTATTCCTACTATCCATCCAGTCATCCAGTCCAGATTCGGCAGATTCCAGCTTCGTTTTTCCGTTTTTCGGCTTCGGCCGGCCTCGGGGTCGGGGAGGATGATTTCGATTTCGACGATGCAACGAATGAGCGTCAGCGTGAGCGAATTCCGATTAATTCCGAATACTAAATTCTTTCTATTCTTCTAGTCTAGTCTAGGCCTGCCTATAATCTATTTTGCGAATTTGAGTTGAGTTGAGACTTAAAAAAATTTTCAATTTCTAAATTCCGATCCTATCGTTCCGTCCGTTCCCATTCTAAATATTAAAAAATAATTAATTTCAAATCCAAATCGCCATTCCAGTTCCAGATTTTTTCGCATACAAGGGCTGTCTTCAATCGTACTAAAAAACTTAAAACATGTGGGTGGGTTCCATAATATCGACAACCGTAGAAATTGATCGAAACTGAATTATTCCCAGTTTGTCGACACTGGAATATTCCCACTTAACCGACATCCCAAATAACCGACGTCGCAAATGATCAACACCACAAATTGTCAACATCCCATATTGTCGACAATGAAATAGTTTCACTATGTCGACACTGAAATAGTCCCAGTATATCGACAAGCTCCCGTTCTTCGGAGCTACTCTTGAAAAGGAGTTGTTCTAATTCATCGTTCAGTTCCTCAACTTACGAGTCGCATCGCAATATTTAATTCCGAATTCCGACGACGGACAATGAATAATGATAAGCTGGCCATTTTGACTAAGCATTAAGTTATTACTTTTATATTGTAAATATTTATCTTTTTTATTTCTTTCCTTGCTTACAGGAAAATTGGTGACTCGTGTGTTACAAACAATAGTTTTTAAGGGAAACAATGTGAAATAATTTGTATAGGTAGGTTATGTAGGCTAATCAACTTGATAACAGACACTTTAGGTAAGTCACCAACAAGAAGGTAAAGTAAGACACCAACAAGAACTTAAGATACAGCTTATTCGTAGGCTAATTCTGAATCATCAAGCAATATTGTAGCAAATGTTTGAATAGGCATATCCCTAGGCTATTAGGATTGTCTCTTATTCCCATTGACCCAGTGTCAACTTTAAGAATTTGTTATTTAAAAATATGCAATGCGGCTGCACTTTAGTTTATGTCCTTTATTCATTCAAATGAAAGATATTAAGGGTACAGTTTCTTAACTGGGCTATGCTAATATCGATTGCAACTATCGTTTCGATTTGTAAACCTTCATGCGATTTTTTCACCATCAGCAAGTTTGGTTGGTTAGGTTAGGTTATGATAGTTTTATTTTGCAATAGATGTATTTAAAAATATCGATTACTAATCAATATTTTCAATTCGATAGTTTCAATCAATATTAGCATAGACCAGTTAAGAAACTGTACCCGATATGAATACATAAGTTAGACTATTTAATATTTTGAATATTTCATTCCGTTAGTTAGGTTAGGTTTCACCCTAACATTACCCAAAATTGATATAGGCCTAAGTTTATCGAATGAAATAATCAATATGACTGGGACGGGTGGCGTCGTCCTGTAATCCAGCTACTACCGTAGGAGGTCACGAATTGTGGATATTTATAGGCATGCACTGTGGATGTGATACTCCCTGGTGTGGATTAACGTCCGCTTGAGTGAGTACTACGACTATCCGCAGTACTATCCTGATAATTAGACCAATTCGTATAGGCTATAGACCAAGGCAATAATGTGGTTCGGATTCCACTATAAACTGTAGGTCCCTTAGTTGCCATTAGCTGTATGGGCTATTAATTAACAGCTGTGTCTAAGGAATGTCGGCCTTAGTCACTAACAAGACTACAAGATCGCGCCACTCATCCTGATCCTACACTCATTTCCATTCGTACTTGGCTTAAAATACCTACTTTGTATGGTCGCCAAGTAATAAGAAAGAAAGTATTAAAGAAATATATTCATTGGAATGAGTGTAGGACGTAAACTTAAGTGCTGCAAAATATTCTAGAGCTGTTTGTATTTGGTGTAAGACTAGACTTGGATTATATCATTCATTGCTGATGACATCAATGTTAATTTTATAGATGATCCTGGAGCAAAGGCTGTAATTTGACCTGAACCCAAATTGGTCTATATTTTAAATATTGTCTTGAACCAATAAGTTAAGAGGACTAACCTTTCTGGACGACATTGCCATCGACATCACAGCAGATGAGAGAGAAAGAGAGACCAGAGTTGTGGACCCTGGAGGCAATTACCATACTGCCGTGATAATGTTCCTTGGTCTAACCATAACTTAAGTGAGGTGAGTCAACATTCTTTCCCCTTTGTGATAGATTCTAGGCTATGTTTGTTAACTAAGTTATTCAAAGTTCAAATCGGTACGGTACTTTGGTAAGTGTTATCCGGAGGGCCTACTGTCGATATTTGGGTGGGTTCCATATTATCGACAACCATAGACACTGATCCAAACTGAATCATTTGCATTTTGTGTTGAACAGAGTTTGAACAACTAATTATTTATATGTTTTATGGTAACTGTAGGGAAAATATAATGTGTAACACAAGTGCAAACTGCCATTGCTGCACTCGACAAACTTTCCACACTCGCCTACGGCTCGTGCGTAAACATTTCTCTCATGTGTAGCAAAGTGCCACTTCGCCCACTAGTTACCTACACAAATAAACTATTATTAATAGTTTTTGGTGGAACATAAGGATAATTAATCTTAATGCAAATTTATAGTTTTTTTATAAACATTCAAAACTAGGCCCCTACTTAAAATGCATTTGGATTACATCTCGAAACATGTTGTTTGGAAATGTCTTAATTAGGCTAGAGCTTGCATTTTTGCAAATTGGGAAATAACAAAGAATTAATGTTGAACGCGTTCGCTACCGAGCGACGCTCATATGCGTCGGTCCGGTCACTCCTACAGACCAAAAGGAATGATCATGACGTTGCTTACAGACCAAGTGATATAGGAATAACATTGCCAACAGACCAAAAGAGAAATATCGTTTAAATGGACTAATTGACTTCATATTGACCTTAAGTGAATTAGTAAGCAATAAATATTGTTTTTATTTATCGTTTTGAGCAAATTTTAAAACGCCGCATATATGCGTCGGTCAGTCTATTTAATAAAATTCAGATAAAAAGATTACCTACATTTTTGTTTCAATAGACCAGGCGACGCACGTTTAAGCGTCGTTTTAAATTTGGTTGTTTCAAGCATTTACTCAAACAAATAAAGAAACTCCAAACACTCGCCAAAACTGCAAAGGTTATAACGTTTACATCTGTTCTGAGATGTCGCGGAATGCACAATGTAAACAACAATGTTGCCAACTGTTGTGTGACGTAACCAATCGTCATATCCACACACCAAGCGACGCACATTTGCGGCAGATATCCCTCTAGACTGATACGATAAAATCAGGGCTTTAAAATAGACCGTTGCTAAGAAATACGCTGTTTAATAACATTGAACACCGACGCAAGTGTGTGTCGTTAGTCTATTTCAATATGATCAGCTGACGCAAATATGCGTCGGTGGTCTATTGTGAGAAATGAGTCGACGCACAATTGCGTCGCTAGTCTATGCAAACGTAAATTTTATATAATTGTGGTAGCGAACGTGTTAAACCAATTTATTTTGCCTAAACCATATTATTGTTACAAATTATAATAGTTGTACTAACTTGACCCAGATTTGCTCAAACATTTTCCTATTATCTGTACCTATTTGAATATTACAAATATAGAAAGGAGTGTACAGACTTGTATTATTTGTTGGACTCAAAGTATTTGTATAACACTATTTTTTGCAATATTTCTGTACAGAACTGAAGCCTACCAGTAAAATGGGGGCGTTGTAATTAATATCCTCCGACATTGGAGAATACAGGGGAGAGGTGTCAGAGGAAGAGGAGATGGAGGATGGGGCGAAGTAAAGACTAAGATTGAAGAGAACTAACTAATGGTAAGTTTTGCCATTTACTTAAATTTAAAACTTATAAATCCAGGGCCGTGTCCATTGCCCCCAAGCCTATTTCGCATAACCCTCCTGAATTACTAGTATTTAACCAGCATTTTAACTGGAGATGTGCCCAAAAATTTGCTTTTGTTTTTTAGGAAATGTAGGCTATATTTTACGACTACCCGCTGGTAGTCGTAAATTTCGATCACGCAATCTTTGCAGATGCTTTCGGCTATCATGAGAATACAAGACAAACTTGGATTATTGTACCCCCTAATTCTAACAGATTTTGGGAAAATTTTCCAAGAGAAAAAGGATTCTTTTGAGGCCCCAAGTGAGTCCCCTTCCCAGGCCGAAGCCCTTGGCAATCGCAGTGTCCACCGTTAGGGGAATACGGCCCTGATTTGGAGGCCTATGTTGGTGTGGGGTCTGGTGCAAACCTCCCCCCCCCCTCAGTACGCCACTGAGTACATTAAATAATGATAGAAGTATGCATAAAAAGACTCTTGTTCTGTTCAGAATACTGTTTTTAATATTAATTTTTGTTCTGTTATATCCAGGCCTGATGACAGGGTGGATCGCGATGGAGGCATGGAGGTTGGGGGAGAGGAGGCTGAAGAAGTGGAGACAAATCAGTTTAGATCCATTATGTTGATTAGTTTAACATTTATTTTGAACATCAGTATTTAAATTTTTTTCTCATTTAGATTATTAAATTAAGATAATTTTATTGTTTTTATGAAGATGTTCTCTTACATTTTTAATATTTGTTTGTACTTCTGCCTGGTAAAAAAATACTGTTTTCCTACAGTTACCTAACAATGTACATGTTCTCTCACTGATTTGAGAAAGCAAAGTGGCCAATTCGCTCATCAGTGAGACAATGTTAACATTGTCTCACTCCAGATTTGCAACGTGAAGGCACAAAATAGTGAGCGCGTAACATGCAGACAAGGTCGTATGTGCGCGAAATACGTTGGCAGCACTGGCTGTAAATCAGCTGGTCAGCTGTTTTACTGTTGTATCATTAAATGTCATATTAAAAGTTCACTTCTGTGTAAAAATATGTTACGTTTCTTTACCAATTTATTTGTTTTATGGTAACTGTAGGAAAAATATAATGTGCAGCTCGAGTGCAAAGTGCAATTGCCTCACTCGAGAAACCATTCCTCACTCGCCTACGGCTCGTGAGTAAGTATTTCTCTCGAGTGAGTCAATTTATCACTTTGCTCACTAGTTGCACAAATAAC